CTGCTTCTGTCTAAGTTGGCTTTCTATGGTTTCGACAAGGACACGGTAGGGTGGTTTAAGAGCTATCTTTCAGGCCGGTCCCAATTTGTGGAGATGCAAAGAGAGGATGGGTCGAGGGTGGCATCATCCCCCCTCAGCGTGTCCAGGGGCGTTCCCCAGGGATCGATTCTGGGGCCCTTGCTGTATATCTTATACAGCGCAGATATAGTCAAGTCTTTTGCTCATTGTAAATATCATATGTATGCTGATGATATACAACTTTACTTGACATTCAAGGCCAGTGAAACACATGAAGCGGTGCAGAAAATCAATGAGGATTTGCACAGAGTGGTTGTATGGTCTGAATCGAACTCACTGGTCCTTAACCCGCTTAAATCAAAATTCATGGTTCTAGGCTCCAGAAATCAGGTGCAAACTATTAAGTCGGCCAACCCTAGAATAGTTATTATGGGGGAAAGTATCGGGAGAGTTGAGCAAGCATGCAGTCTAGGTCTAACTATGGATCCCGAGCTGCGTTTTGAGGCGCACGTAACAAGAGTCTTGGCAAACTGCTTCTACAGGCTAAAGGTATTATATGGAATACGGAAATATCTGAGCATTCCGTTGCGCAAACAACTTGTTGACAGCCTCATCCTATCAAAATTAACTAAAACTATTGTGATATAGTATATGGACCGTGCCTTCTCTCTAGAACGGAGCGCGTTATCCAGCGAATCCAAAATGCCTGTGTTCGTTTTTGCATAAATATACCACGAAGAAGTCATGTTACTCCATATATAAATGAACTAAAGCTACTGAAGATGGCTGCTAGGAGAAAGCTCCACTTGGCCAATTTGTTGTTTGGCACTGTCGAGGCACAGGCACCGGAATATCTTTTTAAAAAACTGACCTGGAAACACAGCCAGATGAGGCATGGTCTTCGCTCCATAGTGTGTCCATTGGCCGCTCCTAGGCATCATACTGTGGCATTCAGGGGATGCTTCAAGTTTGCGGCTACGCGCTGCTGGAATGATCTCCCTCCCCCACTTCGGTGCCTGAAAACAAAACATGCATTTAAGGCACAATTTAAAAAGTTTCTACTACATCAGCAAGTGAGCCTCAACTTGTGACATTGCTTCATACCTCAGGGGTCTTGGCACGCATGCTCCGGATTGGGGATCACTTCCTGCAGTGTGGGTTGCCGTCCACTCAAGCCTTTGTTCCTCATGAGTGTCATTGGTACTGTGTTTTTTTTCCCATTTTCTTGTCTGCAATATCAATTTTATCAATTTAATTCCTTAATTATATAATTTACATCTATCTTTAATTCATCTATGCAATTATTTTGTTTATTTTAATTTGTTTTGTTTACCAATCTGAAGTCAATTTTCATATTGAATTATAATGACTCGATAAAACCTCGACTTATCAAATAATTAACACAAAATTAATACTATTCATCATAATTTTATAACTAATGCTGAGGAATTGGTCAGTGGGTGGCCTTGGATGCGGATTTTTAGGTTATGTATAAATCCATATTAATCCAATAGTGGCGTGCATGGGTAAAATATCACTTACCTGAATCATCCTGGTAGAATTCGATAGTCCTCCATAGTCACATTTTGCAACTACATTCATTACACAATTCATATTCTTTTTAACTCACAACACAACATATTTAAATCACTTATCTCCATAACATTTATATGACGGATTGCATAATAATTATTAGTATGCGTCGCCATTACGTAATACAAATACAAATTGTAAATTACTATATTAAATTGTTTGTGGCACGTGGACAGAGAATGGTGAATAGACTTATAGACTTTTTGATCGAATGCACAGATCGAATGGATTGGAGGCGCGAGCGTCGCTTTCATTCGTTCAGTGTTGCCACTGACAAATGTCACATAGGCGTCTATTGTTTGGTACTTTATTTTTCTGGTTTTTTTTTACTCTATTTTTTTTTTTATCATAAGCAGTTTGTTTTTTTGTAGTAGTTTATTATTCTAACAATTATAAAAAACATATTTCAGTAGAAAATAAGTTAAATACTTATTTTCTTACCTTAAGTTTCTGCACAGATTGGCGTCATGCGTTAGTGACGGCCATCGCTGAAAATCAGCGCCGCGAACCCGTCTCGTACGGGGTCGCTGCATTATGCTGAGCGTGGGCCATTTCGCGTGCTTGGACGCATATTTTTCTCCTACCGTCTACTTTTGTGATATTGTTTTTACCTTGCTCAATGTATTTTTATTTTAACTTTATTTTATTATCTTGTTCGTTTTGTGTCTTTTATGCGTCCCAGACGCGAATAAATACTTTTTCTTTCTTTTCTTTCTTTCTTTCATATCTATGTCTGCCGCTGCTTTAACCAGAGATGCTCGGAGAGACTCCAAATTCGGGTGAGGTTTAGCACAGACTTTTTCCTCCAAATATTGCCATATCTTGTAGTCCAGTGGGTTTAAATCTGGACTAGAAGAGGGCCAGTCTTCATGCCGGATGAAGTCAATTCCACGAGCGATCAACCAGTCTTGCGTACTTCGTGCCTTATGAGCCGGTGCAGAGTCCTGTTGGAATATCCAATGCCTGTTCCTGAACATTGTCTGAGAAAGAGGTTCCACTATGTTTGTTAGGACAGTATTTTGATAAACTTCGGCACTAGTTCTCACACCTTTTTCACAGAAAAACACCTCAGTTACGCCTGAATATGAGACTCCAAGCCAAACCATGAATGAGGAAGGGTAATGCCCACGCTGGACCCTCGCAATACGCGCGCTTGCTTCTTCACTGCTGTGGGCATACACCTTATCATTTTGTTTGTTAAAACTTTCTTCAATAGTAAAAATTTTTTCATCCGAAAAAAGAATTTCGCGGTATTTTTTTCCCGCGTACCGTCGTAGCAAAGCGCGGGATCTGTCTAGCCTAATTTTTTTTAAACGCTCGTTCAAAAAATGTCCTGTCTTTTTACGATAAGCTCGTAGTCCCAGGTCTTCATTTAGTACTCTTTTAACAGTGGTTCTGCTTAGCCCCATCTGCAGAGCTAGGATTTTTTGTTTACGTACGGGATTTCGTTCGATTCGCGCCTTCACTGCTTTGATGACCTTATGTGTCCGAACTGTGCGAGGTCGGCCGCTTCTCTTACGATCTTCGAAGCTTGACTCTTCGGTGTATCGTTTGATAGTACGATAAACAAACCGTAACGTTATTTTCAAATTTTGAAGAATATTGAAAATGTCTTTTGGCGCGTAACCACAGCGGTGCAACGCGATAACCGCGATTCTGTCTTCTTTATTCGACCACTCCATATTTAAAAATGAATAAAAAATAATTTCTTTTTTATTTTCTACAAGCGCGAAAGTTCTATTTTTAAAATAAGTCGAAGAATTTCTGGCCAGTAATCGAAAATTAAAAATATAAGGTTTTGACAGAACTTATGACCCGACTAAGTATTTCTAACAACAACGCGGACAAAGTTGGAAATTTCTTTGTCCCTTTTATGATATTACAGGAGAAACACGATTTATCTTCGAGTCAATAGTTTTTGACAAGTTGCCATGTCGTAACAGAAATCACATCAATATACAACATAGTTTGTAAATGAAATTAAGTACAAATTCTAGATAAGTAATACTGCTATTACTTAAGGCTCTACACGCAATTTAACCTATAGGTTATACATAGGATAGTATTCTTTGGCAGAACGATGTAGGTATAAACTGTTTTGCTATAATAATGCAAGCAAACATACAAAATCCAAACAAAAATCCAGAATCTAATCGATCATGCAGAATTAGATTAAGCAATTGAAGCCATATACGAATAGTTCCTGACACGTCTAAGGCGCTGAGCACTACGGGCCCCCCGTAGTGCTCCGCTCCCTTACGCTCTAATCGTTTCAGGCGGTTTATCTTCATCCTCCAGTTTTACTGACCAGCCAGACCTTGGCTTGTTCATACCCGGCTACTCCTCAGCCCGCGGGAAGCCACGCCTCTATGCGCCTATGCGATTAAAATTACACTCTAGAGGTAGGCCGACCGCCATTTGATCTGGAAGAGAAATTGCTACCACATGTCTTCAGCTGCCCCTACTGCGCCAGATTAGTGTGTTGCGGGATGAACTCCGACGGGACCTCAAGGTAAAGAGGAGGCAACGACTGTGTCAACCGAGGGACGGGGTCGCTGATGCCGCAGCAGTAAGACCATTCTTTGATAAGTGACTTGAGATGTGCCACGGCGTAGGTACTCACCTTCCATCTAATGCTGACGCGCGTGCTGCATGCTGCGTTGTTTCAAAAAAATATAAAATCATGAAAGCTAATAGGTACTCAGATGTAGTTATATGACCAGTAAAAGAATGTCAGGAATCATATTTATTTGTGTATCACAAAACAAGATACAAACTTGATTTTACTCATGTTGATATTTAAATAAGATAAATAATTTTATTACTTATATTAACAATAACTTACTAAAAATACAAAATATATAAATTCACTTACATTTAAATGTACAATAAATAATTTAAATAATAAATAGGTTACTAGTTAAGTACGAGTGTTCGTAGCTCAATAAAATTTACACTTTATTTTGCAACAAATAAACGTCCGAGCTCGATTTTATTCTCATTTACAAAAGAACAAATTGTTGCCCAACTTTTGGAGATTTGCCAGCCAAATCAACTTCCCATATAAATTGAAACTGCCGTTATTTAGCGCCATTTAATATTTCAACGCATCAATTAAAATTTAGTGCTCGAAAGAACTTATTAAACATTTTAACACTCGTTTTGCTTCTGCGTAAAACTAACAGATAAAATTCGTTCACATAAAAACACAATACGTTTTTATAATAACTATCGTGAGACATACTAAATTAACTAAAAATCGCGGGTTACTCACGTGTAAATATTGAGAAAAGCTCTACTAGTTTCGAACCACAGAGGGGTTCTTCCTCATGAGCAGCGTGTGCGGACGTTGCTCATGAGGAAGAACCCCTCTGTGGTTCGAAACTAGTAAAACACAATACTTTTATCGAAAACTATAGCTAGCTGTCTAAAAGCGCGGCAATTTTATTTGGAATTAACTGAATATTCATTTCTAATAGTTAAGTAAATAATGCCATAATAATACGTGTTATACAAAGCAAGTTTTCAGTAACGGAGCCATTTTAATTATTTAACGACACAGTCGTGACAGCGGCGGTCGCGAAAAAAAGGCGACCTCTCCGTAATAATTTCTTTGAAATTTTAATTTATAAGCGAAGTTAGCAAAGCGGGGTATAAATATTTGATCGTAATTCATGTTGGGTCACCTTCCCCCCGCGCGAAGGGTTTCTCAGCGTTTGTCGTAAGGTAGTACACACCATCCTTCCTACAACAAAACAATGAACGTTGATCTCCAAGATTTAAGCTAATGTTGTTACTGCTTAACAAACGAGCGTTCTTTGTTTAATTAAACATAGAAGCGACGAAAAGTTAACCGTTGTTCATGAATACTTAAAATAACCTTCTTTTGTTGTTTGAGCCGCTGAAGTGAATGTTCTACGCGAAGTAATGAACGCTTGGGAATCATAACTAAATGTTAATTAATTGGAACATAAATACCAAATACCAAGTTTTGGTACAGTTAAATTTTAGATGTTCTCAAGCGTGACTTACTCTGTTTCTTAATTAAGAGAATTTAACAATGATCCTGAAAGTAAATAATTCATTTTCGCTTGAGTTAATAAATAAAATGTATATCTTACTGAGTTTTGTTAACGCTATCCATTTTTCGAATTTTCAACTTACCCGTAATGAATATCAAATCCGCCCATGACCAGGGTTTCTCCGGTTCCCTTACAGGACCCTGAGTAGTATAACTCGTCGTAGCTCTCACACCGGACTGCTGTGAACGGCACGTCAGATATGATGGACTCCGAGAAGTACATGTGAGCTCGATTGTGGGCACAGAAACCTGGTGGAAGAAATAGGAGGTATAGAGAGGTACTTAACTTAACATCACTTTGGACACCATGTGGGCCACGCTAGAGGAAGATTTGCCTTCAACTGCTAGTTGTCGGCAATCAATTACTTAAAGATGATTGCACAGAGTAAAAGATGAGAGTTATTCTCAATAGAGGAGTTCAGGAATGTATTCCCTTTACAGCAATACGCTTAATAATGTACCTGACTAGGAAAAGGCATGAGTCTGAAAGCGAGGGAAAGTAATTTGATAATTGTCACCTCAAAAAAAGGCTGATTATAACAACATTATCTATACTAATTTTAAACTTGTGTAGCGTAACTACATTTACAGGGCATACTTGGCGTAGTTGTAGGTACAATTATAAAACACTAGCTTCCGACCGCGGCTTCGTCCGCGTGGAATGTTAAAAAAAAGTAAAAAGTAGGACGTTACCTTTCTACATACCAAAAAACCTTTCACATTTATAATAGATACCCATAGTAAGATAGATCGTCAAGACAGAAACTATCAAGACTTAAAGTAATTTAATTTACTTTTAAATGCCAGTCCTGACCAAATTCCCTAAGCGTAAGAACAGCTAGATATAAATAGATAAATGCTACATATCGAGGTAAATATATGTAGTATATAACAATATATGGATTAATGTATGGTTTTTTTTTTTGTGAGGGGAAAATCATCAAATGACTTCTCCCGCCCAGGGCCGGGCAGGAGGGAGTGTCAGACTCTTACTGACTAAAAACCCCCCTGTTCCTTCTCCTGCTCTGTGCCGAGGTCGCGGTGTCTCATTGCGCTTACCCCGCAACCCCGGCTGAATTAATGTATGGTACTGTTACGTCTACAAACCACTATTTAATGTACTATATAATGTACTTCAGATCCAAACTATGTAAATAATTAAAATTGAGATAAGTAGTTTGACGCCCACCACACCACCACTTTGAAAATACTCTATTGAATCTTAAGTAGACAGTCTCAAGTAGTCAATCTTGAATAATTACCTCTGCGATTCAAATAACTTAAGTATAGACACTGATTTATAGAGTATTGGTAAAGAACAACAAAAGAACTGAAAGACTTAATTGGGACATCAAATAAAAACTAAGTAATTAATCAACCTGCCGAAACTAATAAAAGAAATGAATTACAAGCTCTATTCCGAAATAAACTCATTAAAATAAAAGTGCAATTTATTAAAAAGTTTTTATGTTTTTAAAATTCAATTTCTTAATTTAGTTTTGAAAGTGATGGATTTATTATTGCAATGCGAAGATGGAATAAGTACATAGTACATCTTACTTTCTTACTAACATTATAAATGCGAAAGTTACGGTGTTTGGATGTTGGTTACTCAATCACGCCAAAACGGCTGGATGGATCTGGATGAAATTTGGCACAGGCATATGATACACTCCGGAATAGGACATTGGCTACTTTTCATCAAGATAACACGCGGTCGAAGCCACGGGCGGTGCTAGTAATAAATATTATCTAAAAGTATAATCTTATTGTGGGCGCAAAATAAAGGGCAATATAAATAGGGCTATAGGTAAGCAATCATAATTTCAATCTAACTAATCTGAAACACAAATTTGGCGTAGGCAGATCTCCAAGATATTTGCCTACGTCGAGTCTATTTTTGAATACCCAATTTGGATAAATATAACATCTCTTTATTTTCCTTTCATCCCCGTTGACTGTGATAGTTAAGGGTATGTTCCTCTAGATTCACCGGTTGGATTGGATATCTTCAATTTTACAATGCACAGTGACAGCATATAGAGCCTACAAATTTACCTTACATATATCAGGCAACAGGTTATCATATAAATATATTCCTTTATTGCAATGGGATTTTTTTATGTAATAAACCGGCAAACCAGCAGGCGGATTACCTGATGGTAAGCAAATCAATCAAAATCAAATCAAAATCAAATCAAATTCTTTATTTCAAATAGACCAAAAAAGGCACTTTTGAACGTCAAGCAAAAAAGATATCATAAGGTTTAACTTTATGTGTCAGTCTGTCCGTCTGTCCTCTAGTGAAGCTATTTGCTCGTTCCAAAGTGTAGATTCCTATGGAGAAGAACGAGCAAGAAACTCCATGGTTACTCTTTTTCAATCACTTTTTACAATACATTTTTACATAATTTAGATAGCTCCATTATGTGAGAACAGTGTAACACTAGTGTTTAACCAAAGTATCCGAAAAAGAAATAACCCTCAGGGACAGCAACTTTAGACAGTCTCGAGTTGACCAGTCCCAATAGGCGGCGTCCGTTCACGAACATGACACGTACACCAGCACCGCCCAACTCAACCATATTATAGGGAACCGAGCGGTCCAGTGCCCGTGCCACCGCCAATGAGACTCCTGAGTGAGCATGACAACTCCCAACTGACACAAGTACCAATATACTATAAGTCTATAAGTCTCACTTAATTATAATAAGTTACAGGGCTCTCACATTTACAAAAATCCAGTTTAACAACAATCAACAACATGGTGAATAATTTAATAATTGAGATCAAAATTCCTCTTAACCTTAACAATTTTTATCCTGTGCAGTCAAACCAGCCACCCTCCAAGCATTTTTATCTTCTATATAATCATTTAGTTTGTAGTATGCTTTCCTACATAATACTTTCTTTATACATAATTTAAATTTACTTTCATTAAGATTTTGTATTTCAGTTGGGATTTTATTATAACATTTAACACATAATTCCATGAACGACTTATGCACTTTTGCTAATTTAAATAAAGGCTGACTTAATCTATTTCTATGTCTAGTAAGATAGTCATGCTTGTCAGATACTTTTACAAATAGCTGTAGGTTTTTCCTAACATACATAATGTTTTCATAAATATATTGACATGGTACGGTCATAATGTTGATCTCCTTAAACTTTTCTCTGAGAGATTCGCGACGACCTAAGTTATAGATAGCTCTGACTGCACGCTTTTGTAAGATAAAGATAGACTCAACGTCGGATGCCTGTCCCCACAACAGAATTCCATACGACATGATGCTGTGAAAGTAGCTAAAGTACACTAGTCGTGCCGTGCCTACGTCGGTTAGCTGACGGATCTTCCAGACAGCATAAGCTGCCGAGCTCAACCGCCCTGCTAGAGATCTAATGTGGGGCCCCCATTGCAGCTTGTCGTCTACAGTAATCCCCAAGAATGTGGTCTCCTTTACAAATTCCAGTTTCTGACCATTTAATAATATATCATCGCATACGTTACTTTTAACATTTGGCAAAATAAATCTAATGCATTTCGTCTTTTTATCATTAAGTACTAAGTTGTTTTTTGTGAACCAATTATGAACTTTCGTTAAGGCATTATTCACTTCGTCATAGTTATTTGATCGTCTATTTAATTTAAAAATCAAGGATGTGTCATCAGCGAATAATACCATATGCGGTTCACTTTGGAATAAATGGGGCAGGTCATTGACATAAACCAAAAATAGGAATGGACCCAATATTGAGCCCTGCGGTACGCCCATAGATACGCTAGCACCCTGGGAGTTTACTCTGTTTACTTGTACTGTAAGAAGTCTTTTTAGAAGGTATGATTTTAATAAATTTAGGGATACCCCCCGAATGCCGTAGTGTTGCAGCTTCAGTAATAGCGTTTCGTGCTCAACACAGTCAAAAGCCTTCGAAAGATCGCAAAATATTCCGATGGCATCCTTTGCTTTTTTCCACGATTTGAAAACTTGTTTTATAAGCGATACTCCTGCGTCCGTAGTGCAACGTCCCTTAGTGAACCCGTATTGTTGGTCATGGAAAATAGAATTCGCGTTAAAGTGACGCAGTATTTGAGTAAGTATCAACTTTTCAAACACTTTACTGAGCACTGGCAAAATAGAGACCGGCCTATAGTTATTGCGTTCTGTGCTATCACCTGATTTAAGTAATGGAACTACTTTACTATGTTTCATTAAATCCGGGAAAACCCCTTGATCTACACTTTTATTAAAAATTAAAGTTAAGTAAGGCGCTATAGTCTCTATAAAAGACCTGCACACCCTAACAGACATTCCCCAGAGATCTTCACTGGACTTTACTTTGATATCTTTAAACGCCTTTATTACTTCCTGGGGGTTCGTATGTTTAAACCTAAAGTCCGCAGGACATTCTTTGACGTTACTTCTGAGAAGCTCGACCGCAAGTGCTGGAGATGATTGCAACGTTTCCGTAGTTTTGATGGGAATATTTTTAAAGAAATTTTCGAATTCCTGGGCAACTAATGAATTTGTACTAGTAAATCCCTTTTCGGTTTTTAAATTAAATTCTGTCTTATTAGATTTGTTTCTACCTGTTTCATTATTAATTATACTCCAGGTAGCTTTTATTTTATTTTCCGCGGTCCGGATTTTACTGCTAATATAGAGTGATTTAGCATGCTTACAAACTAATTTAAATATTTTTTAATATTTGGAGACATGCCTACGAAAAGCCTCACTTTTATTAAATGGTTTCATGCCATATAGCTCAAATAACTTTTCTCTACTTATACGAATGCCAGGTGTAGCCCAGTCACAGAATAAAAATTTACACTGGATATTTTTACGTTTTAAAGGGAACATTTTGTCGAACTGTATTTTTATGATGGATAATAAGTTAGCATAGATCTCACTCGGGCATTCATTGTTTTGTAATGGGCTGCATAATTTATGTTTTAAATTTTTATTTAATGACTCAATTTTTTTGTTTGTTATCTGTCTGAATATAATTTCCTTAGTTGCCACAGTTTTAAAAGTATTAAAGTTGACTGTTAGCCCACTGTGATCAGATGGTAATCTGTTTACAATTTCATTATGTAAATAATCACAGTTACAAAAAATATTATCTATACAAGTTGCCGAGGTGGATGTTACTCGGGTAGGCTCAAGGAATATATTAGACAGATCAAAAGATTTAAAAAGACCTAATAAGTTTGTACAATAAGAGTTGTTTTCTAAGAGATCAACATTAAAATCGCCACATACTATTGTATACTTATTACTAGAACACGTTTTCTGTAATACATCTTCCATTACTGAGCAAAATATATTTAAATTCTGTATGTTAGGAGGCCTATAAACACATACTACAATATGCCTATCCAGTTCAACACAGGACAACTCTATTGAGTGCTCAATTGATAGCAGTGCAATGTCTTGCCTTTCTTTATATTTTATTGAATTCTTTACTAAAATCAAGCTACCACCATGTATCATTCCTTTGCGGCTATAATAGTTGCCAACACAATAATTATTGAAGTTAATTGATTCTACTTGATAATCTTTTAACCAATGTTCAGTTATACAAATAATGTCATATTGGAACTTTTCTAAAAACAATTCAATTTGTAGGATTTTTGATGCTAAGCCCTGAACATTTTGACTATACAATGACAACAGGTTAGCTGTTTTATTTTTCAATTTAAGTTTATGCTTAACAATATTGCCAGAAGAAACCTTTTTAATGATTGGGGTTTTTGAGTAATTTAATTGGTTATCTTCTGTTGTCGTGGAAGTCAGTTTAAAAGATTACTATCCGGAGTACTATAAGCAATCAGCGCCGCCCATGAACACCCGCAACGGAGGAGTTACGCGTGCGTTACCGACCTCTTAGGGATTAGGGTTTTGGAGATTAAGGGATTGGGGATGGATCGGAGGAGGGGAAGGATTGGGCCTCCGGTAACCTTACTCAAAAATAATGGGAATAATTTTATATGTATATTCATCATCATCAGCCTATAAATGCCCACTGCTGAGCAAAGGCCTCTTCTCATACGGAGAAGGTTAGAGCGTTAATCATTATATGTATATTTGTTAATCATTATATGTATATGTTATATGTATATTATACTAAGTAAATTCTATTAACATAGATTACCCAACGCTTATATCACTTAGCTCAGTCTATATCTTTCCAGCGGATTTTCAAATTTAATGTCTACCAAAAAAATATGACTGAAAGAGAAATCAAATAAACAGGGTAGTTTTTAGTCAGTAAGAGTCTGTACCTTATCACACTCCCTCTCACATCACACAGAGTGGGGGAAGTCATTTATTAAGGTTCTTCCTGGTTCATCTTACAAAACAGAAGTAAACGCAGTCATCGGTAAATAAGGAAGTCTCAACATACCTCTAAAATCGGTCCCGCACCCAGGCTGTCGAGTGCCGCCATTCGGATAGAAGTCAATATGTCCAAGAGGAGACGCGAAACCGAGGTAGCCTCCACAAGTATGTATCACCTCTACGTGCCGGGCGTCGTGTTTATCCAGCCGAGCGTCCTTGTTTCCCAGCGTAAACAACGGCAATGCTGGGTCCAAACCTATTTACAATGATCATTACATAAATAATTGCAAGTTGTATTTAAAATGGAAAAAATAATGCAACGCTTTCATCCCTAAACAAGATCAAAATCGAATGATTGGCTATTCTTTCTTCTTTATTTAGAAAAACTAATAAATAAAAACAGCAGGGCGTCAATGTCTTCTGTATCCAATTTAACTTTTTCATTTAAGTATCCAATATTTAAGTGTCCAAAGCAAGAAGTGTACCATGTGGATACACTTCTTCGACCAATAACACTGGTCAACAAAATTTCAACTTTGTCGTGCCACATGGACTTTTTTGATATTTTTTACTTTAATTGGTGATTGTAATAAAAAATAAACAGTTAAAAAAAATAGCTAGACAAAGATTTTATTCTATTGAGTAATTTAAAGTATTAAGAAAAAATACGGATCTCGTAAATCAAAAGTTTATTTTTTTATAAATGACTTAGAAAATCTAAGATTTTCTTGAATATTTAGCTTCTGGTTGGTCCCTTTTAATTGTCCAGCAGTAATCTGCTAACATATTTGGGCTCCATTTGCCCTGGTACCGCTTTTCCATATCAGAAATATCCTGATGGTACCTCTCGCCGTGCTCGTCACTGACGGCCCCTAAATTGACAGGAAAAAAATCCAGGTGCGAGTCTAAAAAATGGATCTTAAGTGACATGTTGCAACCTAATGCTTGATATGACAATAACAGCTCGCTAACCAACTCTCTGTAGCTGTCACTCTTGTGGTTACCCAAAAAATTTACAACAACATTTTTAAAAGACTTCCATGCTGATTTTTCTAAATCGCTTAAATTTTCTTCAAATCTTGAATCTTTTATTAACTCCCTAATTTGAGGGCCAACAAAAATACCCTCTTTTATCTTTGCATCACTTACACTTGAAGTAGACGGTTGTGAATTGTCGTTCTCAACAGACGTAGTTGCAACTGGTATTAGTTCTGGCAATTTTTTACAATGAGAGACTTGTCTTATAGCCGAAGATAAATTAGGGTAAATAACTGAGTTTTTTTTCTTGTAATTTATACCTTTTACGTCAGTGAGACAAAAATAGCAACCTGAAACGTGATCTCGCTGTTCAGTCCATATCATGGGTACAGCAAACGGCATAGGTCGTGCACCTTTTTTCCAGTCAGTTAAATTTTTCACACACGTTATGCAACAGACATGAGGGGCCCAGGATTTGTCTTGATGGGCGACAGAAAAACCAAAACATTGGTGATAACACTCCATCACAAGATTTGTAAAATTTCGTCGTTGTTTTTTGAATGTAAGTTCTCCGCAGACATAAAAAAACAGTTAGGATCATTAATACACTTCCTTGACATGCTCACAGGGTTAATAAATCCCAAAAAAGTTTTCAAATTCAACGATAAATATTTTTATAACGATTAACTTGTAAGCGTTTTGTTAATTTACTGCCGTAATACTAGTTAATGAGTATTACCGTATCACAACAAATAGGAGGCTAATTGACATATGGCAACTGTGATTTAATAATGAGGGTAGATTGATAAAACATAATTAGCTATCAAAGTTCGTGTGGCAAAACCAGTGTTGACCAGTGTAATCTGACTTTAATCAAAGATGTTATTGTGATACCTAACTAATAATAAGTTAATTATTTTGATACCTAAGTATAACACAGGCAAAAAGTTAATGTAAGTTTAAAAAAAACTGTTAGTTTTTAGAAAATGAAACCTTAAAAGTGGGGAAATTAAGTTGTTAACTTTAAATTACGATATACGCAATACAACAACAGCTACTTTCTGAATAAAAAATGTAAGTTTAAAAAAAACTGTTAGTTTTCAGAAAATGAAACCTTAAAAATGGGCAAATTAATTTGTTAACTTTAAATTACGATATACGCAATACAACAACAGCTACTTTCTGAATAAAAAATGTAAGTTTAAAAAAAACTGTTAGTTTTCAGAAAATGAAACCTTAAAAGTGGGGAAATTAAGTTGTTAACTTTAAATTACGTTATACGCAATACAACAACAGCTACTTTCTGAATAAAAAATGTAAGTTTAAAAAAAACTGTTAGTTTTCAGAAAATGAAACCTTAAAAGTGGGGAAATTAAGTTGTTAACTTTAAATTACGTTATACGCAATACAACAACAGCTACTTTCTGAATAAATACAAAATGGCTAGCAAGGTTCCTTCGAACGATTGTTTTATTTATCAAAATCGCTTTTGTAGGAAATATAATTATCAGTGTTTTGTTGGTTTATTGATATTTATTTTTGGAATTGAGACAAGGACATTTTATTTTGACCATAATTGCTAATTTCGAGTTCTCATTAATCAATATTAACAAAATTACTATTCCTTAAACAGACCAAATATTAAAATTAGGCACCTGTTCCTTATCCTACGAATGTTATCAACGCGAACATTTGGAACTACGGATGGATGATTCTAACTATGTCTCGTAAAAAAAGTACTGAACGAATCTCAATAAAATTTTATATATTCTGGAATTCTATTTGAACACCCTGGTATTATGAAGAAGTAGTTTTTTTTTGTAAGGGGAAAATCATCAAATGACTTCTCCTGCCCAGGGTCGAGCAGGAGGGAGTGTAATACTCTTACGGACTAAAAACCCCCCGTTCCTTCTTCTGCTCTGGCCGAGGTCGCGGTGCCTCATTCCGCTTACCCTGCAACCCCGGATGAAGTGGTAGTTTGCAGTATCATTTATTTATCTAAAAGCCGTTAACGCTCACACACATTATCCTTCACATACACACAAAATTGTACCTACCTCCAAAACTTCGCACTTAAAACTTCCAAAACAATAACATTTAATTTTAGTTCCACGTTATATTCAAACGATAATGTGCTGTGCGTAAAATTAGCAAACAACACAGTAGGTCTTCACAGTAACCGCTAGAGTTTAACAAACAATAGAAGCTAATTTGCCGCGGTTTTGTTATAAAAGCTAACAGAATTGGTTACGTAAACACCTCGGTATTCAACGCAGAATGGGGAGTTAAAATTGCCAAATTATTTGCCATAAGCACGTAATTAAGACGCGATTTATTATGTCCTGCGTGAAATGAAGGGATTTAGGTCAAATGCGTATTGTATGCAGGTTTTGAAAGCAATGATGGCTTTATTAATGAAAAATAAGGTGTGGAGATAGACAACAAAAAAATTTTCATAACTTGAATCCATTTTTGAGCACACTCTAGTACTTTGCAGTTGTATACCACCACTAAAATTCCTTTCTATTTTCTAGACATATATAAAAATAGTTTCAGTAATTTCAACAAATATATGTAACCATTTAACAACTTCAACTAAATAACTTTTCACAGCTTAGACTAGAGGCAAAGTTTATAAAACTTGTGTTGAAAGCAGTTGAATATGATTAAGAGTTCTTTCAAATAGACATTGATTGACGCAACCAACGTGCAGCGTTGCTTGCTAGTCACTTTAGAAAGTCTTGACAGTTGATGCTTTAACTGAATAGTTAACAAAATAATCCGTAAATACACTAGTGTTGTAGGTAAATCTATTGTCTCAAAAGAAAAAAATGGCTAAATCAAAAACTAAAGAATTCAATGACAGATTCGGCAATTTCATTGCAACAAAAAACAAAATCACTTACCTGTTATAGTATCAATAGGTCCTTTCTTAACATAAGCTCCAGCTATGCCAACTACGTGAGCACCCAGGCTGTGGCCAATAAGATGAACGTCATCCATGGACACGCCTTCTCCGATAAGAAAATTTAGGAACTCCGTGAGAAGACGACCAACTGAGGCCACGTTGTAACTAGCCAAGATATAATTAACGTTGGCTGCGACACCCCAGTCCACCACAATTATATTCAGGTCGCTCACATTAAGGTAAGCTGGAAAACAAGGACAATAAAACATAACTTTTTAAGAAGATTATGAAACCCGGAGTTTCTTGGTCATCTAAAGAAAGGGTAAAAAGTTATGGACAATGAAATGTTATAGTGGTTTTTAAGAGGACCGACAAAGTAGTAAAACTCTGCCGTAAACCGTTGGAAGGAAGTATTCTGTAGAATAGCTGTAAAAAAACTGAGATCTCACGACTGTAATGAGCTTAGTTAATGTCTCAAATTACCGAAAGATTAACCTTCGGAACAAATCGGAAGCAGAATTAAAAGAGTGGCAAAGTTTATAAGGACAGAAGATTCTAAATTTGGTGTCGTAGTAAATTTCTAACATTTTCGCTCTAACTACTCAGCGTAGGTTGAAACGTCAGAGAATCAAGATACATTGACCTCGTTCGAAATTCAGTCTGGCATCGATGTGATGGATTTCAAGATCTCATTATGCAGATACAGCTGGAGTAATCGCCTACAAGCATAGCAGCTCCAGTGAAGTAGGAGCATATGGAGTGTTTATAGGTTTCAAAATTCTTGTAACTTGTTGAGTTTTTCTAGTGTTTGTTTTGATCAGCCCAAATAAAAAATAAAGTTTAGTTATAAAGGTTTTTATCCTAATAGAAAGGAAAGTAGGTAATGTGTTAGAGTATGTACCAAAAACTAGTACAGTTCGCAGGAAAACCAGATTAACACAATGCTTGCGTTGTGATTCACACTGTGAGTGAGGTTACCGAAGGCCTAAGCCTTCTCAAATCAAATTCCAACCAGACCCCAAGGTCACGTATTAGATTTTTAAACCTGACTATTCATATTAACAGTAATGTACTAAGTCGAGCAAGTCGCTACTTTTGCTCTTGAGAATTTTGGAATTGAAAGTCATGTTGAACCATGATATTATTATGTATTAATTATTTACAATTCTTCTTAAAAATAAGACAATGACTTTTAACTATAAATACCAACCTTCTTTGATAGACTCGGGCATAGGACTGTAGCCGTGGTTCAGCCATCCATGGGTTAGAACCTTTACTTTTTTGCTAAAGTCGAAATTTGATTGGTGTAGAGATGCAGAATCGTTCGTAGTTAAGACTTGAAACTCGAACGGGTTTCGCCTAGAAAAATAAACCTTGTGGTTATTAAAAAACAGTGGCAGATAAAATATTAAACTACGGGACGATGACTGATGAATGATTCACCAAGAGGTTTTACAAATATCTTTCTGCCTACCTACTTACTGTACTTTTTCCTATGTACTAGTTTTTTCGTTCGGATTAATCATTAGTTTAATTACCATTGTAATAACTTACCATTGTAAAACAAATTTAGAAAGAAATTATATCATAATACTCGTTTATCTAACTAAAAATTAGACTACAACGATATTCGATTCAATATCGATTATGGCTATTTTATTACTATTTTTTAGTTTTACTAGTTGCACTGTTACCTACCCTCCTTCCACACCTTGTGATAGGTGTCAAGTTCATTAGGCCAGCTTCACCGGGACCTGTCGCAACTTCTATAGACATCATATAAGTACGATCCAGTATTTTTTAACAAATAACTACCATAAATTCTTTTTCTGTTTTGTTCTGTGTGCTTACCTACATACATAACATCTAAACTATCATTAAAACTGTACTTAGACACTCCAAATAGATTTCTCTAAGCACGATATCTAATAGACACACAGCATGTACACAATGGCCCATTTAAATACAATTTTGGTCATATGACACTTACTACAACATTACAGGCGACGCGAAACAATAGCATACTGTACCAAAAAGGTGGCGTTAAAATTTTTGTCATACCCAACGATAGCAAAATATGTTGGAAAGAACGCATTGCGAATTTTAATTATGCTTTACAATTTTTTCCTTTATAGCGACAACATTTTTTTAAAGCGTACACTCGCGGGTTTTTGCAAACTTTTAGCGTTTTAACGTTTACCTCGATTGAATGATTTTTTTAAATAAAAAGTATTATGAATATTTCAAGATGTAGGAATTGTTGAATTGATTTATTTTGTCTAGTAGACTTGTATAAACACATTAAGGGTGTAATGTTCCCTGACTTAGGGGAAGAGAAGTGATCATGTACGATTTTTTATCCGTCTTCTTTCGTTTGCAAGTATTCCTTGAGTAAGGTAAGGTGGAACTTGTGACTTGAATTCTGTGGATTTACTGGACGTTCGGTCTATTAACTACTAGCTTCCGCCTGCAGATTCCACACGTATAAAACTAATCTATACCCGGATTTTTAAAACAGCAGCTCGGATTGCCAAAATTCTTTCACTGATAGATAGCTACAATGTTCCTGAGTGTTATAGGCGGGTGAAACCATGCGAGATTAGCTAGTATATTATATTTATAACATAGTATATTACGCAACAGGCAGGTTACATCTATGTGTATCCCTTCGTAGATAAACATGCGTGTTTGTTAATAAAACAAACCTCAAAACATCTATCTAAAACGATGTTCTTGTTCGAATAAACATTTTATTTTTTTGTAAATAAATATAAAGAAGTCTAGACGAGTTCAGATAATATAAAATAACGAATTACAAGAATCATAAAATATTTTACAATCCTCAGATTTTATTTGTAGTTCTAGAAAAAATATTCGTCAAATTTCTGGTAATTCTGAGAATTCATTAATTGTAAGTGCTTGTGTACCAATGAAAACCTAAAACCTACGTTGTTACTAGGTAATATTAATAACTATTGCAGTAAATCTCAGACGGGCGTTAGTCTAGAACAAAATAACCAACGAGGTTTGAAACCCAGTTTAGATAAAGTACGTTTCTAATGGTGCATTGTGTTTCGAAAACGTTAGATTAGAACAGCACTAGAAGGATCCTACATACCTATGGTAATCTAAAGTAATGTTTACTTAGATATGCATCTTTATATATTGTGGCAAAGGCTATCTCAACTACTCCCGGAACAACAATTTGTGAATCACAATACGATCTGTGCAGATGAAACACACGACACATTCCACAGCAACTATCGTACAGGAAAGCGTAAGAAATAGGAACATAAAACTGCAAATGCTGAAACGTACTACAGCTGAGCTTCTCATCATTTCGGGAAAAATATGAGTTATTATTGTTAAATAATAACTTCCTCACGTGAATTAACTGAGGAACTCTACTAGTTTCAAGTCACAACGGGGCTCTTATTCGTGTGTAGCATGCGCGTCGTGACGACTTCGACGTCATTTCTCAGGCAATACACGTGAATAGGTCGTTACATTTTAATAAAAAATGAGTTAATATATGAATTAGGTCACTTTTTCTGATAGATACCATCGCCAAAAATGTTACAATGTTACGAAGTAATAAACTTATGATTCAATGTATACTAACTATGTTAGGGTTTTATACTAAAACATATGAGCAAGCAATTTAATTTTGAAACAATTAGTTTGCGTATAGTTTGCACTTTCAAGTTGCTGGTTGAGAAACTGTAAAGTTAAACACTGTTCTCTTAGTTTCTTTAAAGTAATTCAGAGTTACCATCTTAACCCCACAAATTTCTATAGTTCGGTTTGATTTTACATAAACTTTCGATTCACTAAGTAGTCTACTCATTAAACTTCACAACTTAACCTGAAAATCGGAAAGAATTAGCTAACGTTTTAAGGAAAGAAGTCAAAAAAAATTAAGTTGCTAATTGGTCATTAAGGAAAAAGAAAAAAAGATAAAAGAACAGTTACGGATTAAAAAAAACAAGAGACGGACGCAGAATTATATAAGCTTTCATAGAGAGCCATAATAGTGTGAGTGGATGTTCTACATATAATAAGTCCACGGCTGAAAAGGGCACCAGGCGGCATATATGGCATATAAAGGGTCTTGCGCTGGTATTCTTTTGGTCCTTTGCGTAAATCACGGTTTCTTTCGCGAGTCACGCAAGAGGCAGCATTAAGATTTGGATCAAAGTGAATATAGACAAGAATGCTTAAATTAATCGTTTTCAGTTTTTAGATATAAGTAGCAAAAACTTACATAAACATTTTACTTTATTTATATTTAATCTTTTTTAAACACCACGATCTACAAAAACTTTCATTAAGTACCTCTACTCAATTCAGAGACGAAAATGCTCAAACCTAGACACTAAATCTATACCTCAGAATACAGAACAAACTATACTAAGTACTTACTTAGTTTTTTTTTGGAGCACGGAAAACTACATGGACTTTAAATAAGTATAGTTAACTGTTTACTTTTTTATTGTTCTTTAATCATAGTATATATTTCTCACCTTGTAAACAGTCTGAATTCAACATCAGCATCATTGACCCATCCGAGCCAAAAACGAGTGTCATTTAGGGCGGGGGCTGGTGGGTACAATTGCACACTAGCCAGCCATACTGGATCGTACTGCGGCGGCGCATCCCATTTCACCGCCGACACAACTGCAAGAATAGTACATTATAGTACAAATGCGTAATGTTGGTGATTACCGATGCGGCACATTGGTCTTATGGAGCCGAGGACGGTAATCATCAATGCACACGCGTATTTCAACACATTTCTGAATAAAATAACATATAAATAAAAAACAAATTTTAGCCAAATAACTTCTAAAGAGAAAACGAGAGGAGTTGTGAAAAATGTTTCGTAATGGCGGGAAAAATTAATCAGTTTAGTTTTCCTATGCGCGCGCACCAGCCATAGCCATAGACATAAAAACTTTGGTTTCTTTTTTTCTGGGTTTTGCGCGAAAAGCACATCTGTTACACACTCGTGAATATAGTACTTATGAAAAATTCAGTGTTTGAATATCTATAGGTGTAATTATGAACTAGTTTATGAAGAAGTGTGTTGAAAAGTAAATAAACTTAGAATGTAGTAGACCTAAACGTAGGTCACTTCCAAACGGATCTGGATGACGCTGTTGATTGACGTGCACCTAGCCTGCCTATACCGTAGGTGCCCAATCAAAAAAGAAGAGACAGTATCTACATATTATTTCTTGTCACATACCTACTTACATGGTTATTTTTTATGTTATAGAACGGCAAACGAGCTCTGTACGAATTATCACCTGGAAGTAAGCCGTAGAAATCGACACCCGCCACACCAGTTTGTAAGAAATGGGACAGCAGGAAGAATTAGGCCTCGAAATACCTCACTCAGATAGCGAAACAACGCAACCATGCTTTAAGCTGGTTTTCTGATGATGAATTATGATAATTACTTAATAGAGACGACGGAGTCACAATCAGCATTCCAAAATTAAAATTATTAAGAAATTGCAAATTTCAGAATGTCTCTGGAAGTCTAGTAGGTAGGTATTTGCTAATACACGTATCTAGTTAACAATCACATTCTTTGCAAAATTTGCTTCTAGGAATTCGTTCCTATTCTACCTTTAAAGCCACATTGTAATCGTATCAATGGCACGAATACGTCCTACAATTGCTATCTAACGCCAAGGGAGGTACCGGTTCTCTGTTAGGAACAAGATTTTCGCTTCGTCTTATCGAGGTCAGTTAACTTACAATCCACGCGACGCTGACAATACAAAGGTTTCAAAAAACATAGTCACCAAACTGGTAGGTAATCCAATAATACAAAAGCGTGAAGTCTTTATTTAAATAAACATCATTAATCTTCATAATGTGTAGTTAATAAAACATTGCCTGTCTAATGACCTAAATAGTTTTTAGCGTATTATTTCTGCACCTATAAGATGAGGTCATAAGATTAATTACAAAATAGGCGATTCATTAGGTACTTACGTATTACCAAAGGTACCTAGGTGTTTTTTCGAAATTGTCAGTGATGTGAATTCTGGATAATCGCTTTCAAAAACACCACCTGTATCAAATTGGGTAGTTTCCTAGGTCAAAAATAAATTAATTCAAGTTTCAATATAAAAATATTTGCGTGTTTATATATGTAAGTACTTTTAGGTATTCATCGATCGATCGATACACTAAGTTTTAGATATTTTGTAGGTAGTTAATTATTAAGAAATAAAGTTAATTAGTAAGCTATTTGGCTCTAAAATGCTATGACGTCATAATTTAGTTTTTCATACACATTTCATAGAAAAGTATCGTTTTTGACATTTGGATAAAAGTATTGAATTTGACTAGTTGGAAACTACATTATTATCCTACGGCTCAGAATAGACATCTCAGACAAAGAAGGCAAGTTCAGAAGGTAATCACCACTCTTGCTTAAGTTGACTTTCACCGAACCTATTTGATATCTCATATTAAGTGTGGGAGAGCCATGCTTCGGCACGAATGCGTCGGCTCGACCGAACTGAGAAGCCTCACAGAAAGCCGGTGTGAAACAGTCACAGCGTTAAGTTTCGCCGTGTGAATGAGGTTACTGCAAGCCCTTCTACCAATCCCTAAATCTCCTAATCCCTAATCCCCAAAAAGTCCGCAACCTACCCGTAACTACTCTGTTGTTGCAGGTGTCCATGGGCGGCGCTGATTACTTACCATCAGGTAAACCGTAAGCGCGTTTGCCGTCCTATCACATAAAAAAAAATATTTAACTGTTTCCAGCGTCTTCACAAAGGTACTGGCAGCGTAGAGGCTACAAGAGGTGTAGTTATCTCTTAAACGGAACTGTAACAATTCAAGAAATAAAAATATCAATTTTATCCTTATTTTGTAACGAGAGAGCACTCTTTTACGCTTCTCCATTTTTAACCTAATAAAGTTTGTAAAAGATTTGCTGTTTTATCGAAACTGAATTTCTCTTGAGGATAATAATTTGAAAAACTCAATGATCGGAAGTTTATTCATAACTTCAACGCGAATCGATGTTGCTTTTATTTCGCTTTGGGGAAATGAAATTAAAAAATAAGCACGAGAAGTTTATGCTACGCTCCTTCTAACGCTGAATTAGGTACCTAACTATACGTTTTTTTTTTTTGTTATTTGTGTATTTAATTCGGCGCATGTGTCCCTTATTAAACACATCTGCTGATACGTGAACACATTATAACATTGCCATATTTACCCAACGTCACCAATCTATCTTCTAAACCACGAACTTGTAATCAATTATTCAAAATTCCCGTCGAGTTGCTTCGTTAATTTAATATATACTGCCTCACCATAATGGGCGGGAGGATATAGATTGTTATCTTTGCTATAACATTCTATGAATGCGTGAACATTTACTTACTTCACCTACAAACACTTGTGTGAAAGTTGAATAGCGTCAAACAATTAATATTCATTGTTTGATTGGGACTTGGAACGTTCATGTTTCTTTTATCAACTGGACCCAAGGGTTCTTCGATACTTAAGAGGCTAACTTCAAAGAAAAGGTAGCTTATTTTTTCATGTAGAGTAGAACTTAGATGTTCCTTATCGACCTACATCAGACAGGCGATATTTCTTAACCTACATTGTAAATCTCAAAAACAACAAAATCAATGTATCTACCCACATTTTAAATTACCTTAGCGGTTTAGTTGGTTACGTTTAAGTTGGTCCTTAATTAGGCAACTAGGAAAGTACAATAAGAAAATGTTTGATAAATAAAAATAAAAAGAAACTAGTAGGCAGTATTATTACTTATATTTTCATAGAATAATCGCTGAATTTCCAATTGCACATACCGATTTCTGACCGATAGGTAAACCGGTAATGTGGGTAGGTACTAAATGGCGAGAAAATCTTAACACTGTTCCAAATCTACCTCCACTATCTTCCTTGCTTAGGAACTTACAGATAAAGTTCTAAAAAAAACCGACTAGAAATCAATCGGGAATCAAAATGGTTTAAAATTCACTAATGGCTTGTTTCGAACGTGGTTAACATACTAGTCACGAACCTGTGCAAAGAGCAAACAGCAACGGAATCATTCCAACTTCACTTCCTGGCAACAAACACCAGACTCACTGAGAGCAAAACCAACTTTCCACACATCGAACAAAACTTTGTTGAACTTTAAACTGTCTGTAACGCTCATTTTGAAGCTAAATCTAATTGAAGGACCGGCACCGAGGGCTCCCACATTTTCACTGGCCGCTCGAAACAGAGATAGAATTTAAATTTACTACGTAGCGGTATCGGGCTCCATTACGATTCATAGTACGATTCGCTGGTCTGTCCATTGATCATATTAATCAAACTGAACCTTATTAACATTGCATACGGTATCCTGAGGTTTCATCGTCAGGTAAAGGGAGAAAATGCGAAACTTGAGTCATGACTGAATAAATTACTTTGTACGCCTATACCTATTAGGTATACCTAGGTACCTATTTTTGCCAAATTTTTTCACATCATTTCATTTTGAAAATTTAAAGATTTATTTTTATAAAGGCATTTGTATACCTATCTGGCTATCCTTCACCTCCTTACCATAATAAATTTTGGGTTTTAAATTATTCAACAGGTTTCTGGGAATGGACGGCGCCATCGGGACCGACACAGAAGACTGGCGATACGGCCTTGTTACGGCCTTGTTGTGTACGACAAAGAGGCAAGACGAGTTCGGAATTTCTGTGAGAATTTTATAGATCTTTGCACAGCATTAATAAAGCCTCCCAGGCCGCCTCCAATCATGATGGCCAAAAATCACGTCAAAACGCAGAAGACACATATTGCAGTGCACAAATTATAATGTGCAGGCAACTCCCAATAAGGTAGTTTCCAACTAGTCAAATTCAATACTTTTATCCAAATGTCAAAAACGATACTCAGTTTTCCATACATTGTATGAAAAATTGAGTTATGACGTCATAGTTTTTTCAATCGATCGATCGATGATAAAAAGTATAGCTATTCTTCAATATTTCATTAATTTATTATTGTATTGAAACGTCGAAATAATTTATTTTTGACCTAGGAAACTACCCAATTGTGCTGCCCTTGTTGAATTTTTGCGTGAAACTTAATCTGAACTCTAAATCCCATTTAAAGAAGGATTCGTCGATAATTCTAACTTGCGAGGGCATGTAAAGGATTTTCGAAATAAAATAGTCTATCACGGGTGTTGTGTACCTACTTTCGTTGTATTTTGGTTATTTTCGTTGACATTAAGTTATAAAAAAACGGTAGTTTATCATCGGTACTATATACTACAACTAGATATATATTGTCATATGTTTTGCAAAATATTCCATACCTGGTGATGAAGCCCTTTTTCTATGGTTTTTATTTTTTGTGAGATGATGATCCTAATAATCAAATGACTTCTCCGCCCAGGGCCGGGCGGGAGGCAGTGTCAGACTCTTACTGGCTAAAATCCCCCCTGTTCCTCCTGCTCTGGGCCGAGGTCGCGGTGCCTCATTGCGCTTACCCCACTTGACCTTGGTCTCAAGGTCAAGCCTTATAAGATCCAAAAGGCGCGTGATCTTACACCGTAGCAGTAACAAGTCAAACTTGAGATAGCGAAGGAGTTGCTTCGCTTGGCCATAAATGGTCATTTATTTCTGAATTTTGTATTCGTTTTACACGTTTTGTACATACTTACTTTGAATTGAGTAAAAGTAATTTTCCAAACTGAATTTATGGCCTTTTTAACTGGTTCCATTTCGAGTGCCGGACCGTGTAATTTATTGTTGTTAGCCGCATCTTTCCTTCTTCACCAACGCTTGAAACTATCAGATTACTTTCACGTAAATATAGGTTCACCTACAACGTGTTTGTAGCCATGGTATTATAAACTATTAACTATACATACCCTAATAACTAAATTGATAAGAAACAACTAGGTAAAAAATAAATAGTTAGGTATAAATCAAAAGAGAAGTACATTACCATGACGTGTCGCGCCATAACGCGATGGTTCCAAGCACAGGTTCCAAGACAGTACCCTGCCCAATACGTCAAGCACGTGTCTTTAATCATAGTAAAATATGAAACGTGACACGACACGACACGCTAATGTATTTATAAAAAGTTTCGATTGAACGATTAAATCCTAAGGTTTAATTTTAGTTTGCCTGACTTTAGCTTTAACATTCTTTCTGATTTGTTATTTAATCTGTAACGGTGGCATAGACAGTGACCTTGTTCAATCTCCAATAGAAATTAATAAAATTCCCTCCGTCCGACCGACATTCGACTTCCTTGTCAAAAAATGTGATGTCAAGTTGGGTTTTGATTGACTGATAGGTTACTGTGTACGCACATAAAATCAATTATTATTTTATAGCATCACGCGAAGCGTAACGCTCGTTACTAAGGAAAAGAAATCCTATATTATATGTGCCTAGACCGTTAACACTAGCAGTGATACAAGTAGTATTTGTTACAAGGTTAAAATATTAAATAAAAAAGCGCACAATGGCTTTAGCCCTTGATAACACAAAAATCTTAGAATTTTTGGAACTCGTCGGTCGTTTGAAGGTAAGTATCTACTAAATAAACCAGATTACAATGGACACTCTGTCAAAATTTTGTAACCAGATTCAACATCTGGTTACAAAATTTTAAGAGATCTTTTGCGTAATTCTTATTGCTACACAGCATTAAAATTTGTTAAGTGTACTTAAAAATTCTTATATTCAATTGGTTTAGTAATGTTTATATAACAAATAATTTCAGCTGAACTATTAACCTTACGGTTCACTTACAATCGTTATTTAATATATAATATTCTTATTACCATTTGTCATTTCCAGCATGTGAAAAGAACTGGTTGGGTATTATGTGATATAACCGAATGTGAGTCCATTGCTGGACACATGTACCGCATGGGCTTAATGACCTTCCTGCTCACGGATCAGAACAACCCCACCAAACTTGACAGATTTAGGTGTCTCCAAATAGGTAAAATTTCAATCTATTATTTAATCATATATTAATGTAATATAATAGCATTTATTTTAATGTAAAAGGCTATCCCGGCTTTCATTAAATACACCAAGGAAAAGATCAACAAACTCGGCTCAGCAGGTACTTGCTTAGTTATATGATAAACTTGTTCATTGTATTTGTCTAAATACCCTGAGGCATGGCATGTAAAATCCATGAATAATCATTATTTATTCTTAATTCTTATCTTTTCTTAAACCATCTCACTCAATTACTTTCTTATTATTTCAGCTCTTGTCCATGACTTAGCAGAATGTATAGTTGGAGATCTCACACCACATTGTGGCGTGTCACCTGAGGAGAAACATCGGCGAGAAGATGAGGCCATGCAGAAAATAGCAGAGCTTACTGGTATAGCTGGTGACAGAATGTATGATCTGTATAAAGTGAGTATCAAGAATATTATACATCATTTAGTACATAACTGTTTAGCAACTTAGACAAATAAGGGGATTTCTTATTTCATAATCATCTTAAAAACAGGCAGCATTATTAACTAAATGGGCAAAGAATGCTACATCCTCAATATTGTAATGTCATATAAAAAATTGAACAAGCCACAAATGCACTATTGCATTTTGATTAAATTTCTTATAATAATTATATGATAAGATATAGATAGATATCTTAAACCACTTGTTTTGATAAAGTTGTCTAGAGGTTTTTTACCTGAATGCAACAGGGGCTTTAAATCTTCCATTTATGGTTTTGTGACTAATTTATATACAGTTAGGTATATTCAATAATAATACTTATATGTTATCAGGAATCCATATAGAGACTATGAACTAAGTCATGTCATCTGTATCAAAAAAAGTTTACTGCTGCTTATATAACTAACATTGTAACGGAACAATAATTTCTGGATCATGTTTTGTTCCTTAGGAGATTTGGAAATTGCAACATATTGCCTGTTTGATATGGTGACCAAAGGGAGAGAGAAAGAGAGATTCTCTAAGTTATAGATTATATGCCAATCATTTCTAATTTATTTCATAGCTAAAATCGTCTTCTTTCTTCAGACCAGAAACAGAAGTACCACTATGTCTCAAACCAAACAATTAAATTCTTTCAGGAATATGAGAACCAATCATCACCTGAGGCTAAATTTGCCAAAGACTTGGACCGCTATGACATGATTTTGCAAGCATTTGAATATGAAAAACGTGAGAATGCACCAAAGAAGTTGCAGGAGTTCTTCACTGCCACTGAAGGAAAGTTTGATCATCCTTTTATCAAAGATTTGGTTACAGAACTGTACAGACAAAGAGAGGAGTTTGAAAAGAAATGCCTAACAAATGGTCATGTATAATATTAAAGCCTTACCTATCTTCCATACTACTCATTAGTGTTAACATTACACAATATTGCTAGCATTGTTACCTAGCTCAGCTGATTAGTCTGATGTTAAATAGCAAAAGAGCAGAACCAAAATAATTTTTCTAAGTTAAAGCTTAATTTCTGCAGTCATTTTATATAAAAGAACTAATTGAAAAGTGCATAATAAAAATGTTAGTGATTAATTTTTAATAGGCTTTTTATATTTTCCATATTTGATAAAAATGATCAAGAAGCTTAATAAATAAGTTTACAATACTTTTTATTTGTTCTCATAAAGTTGTTAAAAATTACTGTACTGCAAGTTTATTTGCAAAAGAACAGATTTGAATAGATATATGTATTATTTTAATGTTTAATATTATTTTTGTGTGTTACTGTCACTTGTGTTACGTTTTGTTTCACGTAAATATTCGAATAATGCACTAAAGTGTGGTGTTTCAAAATTTATTCATAATTAGTTTAAGGAATTGTTTGTACATTGTATTATAAGCGATTAATTCCAGTTCATAATTTTAAGAACACTCAAAATCCGTGGAAAGTAATGAATGTGGTATTCAATTGTATACGTATTGCAAATATGTATATGGCGTAGTATTATAACATAATATATACGTATTTATTACGTGCAATTTTCTCGAGCCATTTAAAATGAGCTACCAGTAATTATTAGTTATACATAATAATTTATCATTCCCACTAGTCATTAATAGTTTCAAATACTTAATAATTACATACCTATAACCAGACATTTTAAAATTTTCTTTAATAGTTTTAATATTTATTGGTACGATTGTTAATAAGAATTGTTACTTATACCTATTATATTCGCTTTTCCCTTCTGACTATGCTGCAGGTGGAAGAAAATGGAAAGAAAACAGTGGCGTAATAATTTACTAGGACAGTACTATCTAGTTGTTCTGGAAATCATGGCATTTACAGACCAAACAAATACAAACCATTACTTGAGGTTCACTTTAAGTCTACGCCACTGTATGTCAGTATTGTACTTACCAGTGATGTGATTTCTGTCAATCTTCAATTTATGTACCTTCCAAAATAAATAAATAAATCTTTGATCTGCCTACATTATTACAACTTTTTTAAGGATTTCCTAGTATGAATTTAATTTCTTTTGAATTGTGCTATCCCATACAAACTTAAGAGGACACTGTCTCAAGTACAGTTGAGACTCCCTAACTGTACTTGAGACGGTATACTACAGTAAGATGACAATTTCATTACCCTGCAATAGCTAATTCAGTAACTAAACAAAACCATTGTATGTCACAGTAAATACTAAGAATGATGTAATAACTTGGGAGCATCATTTATTCGAGCATTTGTTGTACCTATTAGTGATCAATTACCTATGCAATGATTGCACAACACTACAGTGTTGGTAGTGTTAAGTGGCAATATAATATAAGAGGAAATTTGCCAATGACAAAACAGAACACAGTTGTACTTTTAAGATTTTATTGTACAAAAATGGGTAGTTGAGTATACATACAAACCTATTCAGTCAAAATTAACATTAAGATTTGCATAAATGCTAAGACTTCTTGTGACAAATCTGTTAACCAATTTGTCATTGCAACTGTGCCTGATGAGCCACAGTTTCGACTTTCTTCTTCAGATCATACATGTTCAAATCCTAGGCTCACAACTATTTTAACATTTAACATAATAAAATCTTTATTATTTGGGATTATAATTAAATTAGGCTCTGTTAAACACAAGATTTTAATGTTATTCTAATTTAAAGGAGTGCTTCAATCACATATCCAGTTTCGGCTCTCTGCTGACAAGCTCAAAATTTTATGTGATTAAACATAATAAGGAGCAGTCAAAAAACCTTCATGTTTTTGCCTGAATATTTAATTAGCAGTTTGTTTTTGTTTATTCATACTTGCTGCTAACTGTTCTTCTTTTTTTCGTTGCTTTTCTCTCATTAATTCAGCATCCCTGCAAAAGTATTGGTCACAGATTAGTTTTTTTAATTAAGATTATAAAAGGTATGTATTAATAGCATGTTATTGTGCCACCACTTGCTACTTTTAATGACAAGGTAGCAATTTAATGTGACCAGAAATGTAGTATAAGAATAGGTATGTAATATTCAGAATAGAATGAACATAATTGACTATGCTATGAATATCTTGTAGTTTTAGCCTAGGCTTATGATGCGCAAAATAGCCATTAATAATATATTTTAAAATTAAAATTATTAAGGCTGACTCTTCATTAATCTGTTGCCATACATATATTAAAGTCATTCATTCGTTAATTAATGTAGAACCAGAAATTACCCTTATAGCCCAGCAAATTTTTACTGGCAACCCCACCACAAATGCAAATAAAAATAATGCCATGCAGATTCTGCTTGCTGCATGGTTTGCACACAGATTTCATCTTCTATGTCATTAAAAATAATTGAATGGCAGATTGGATGCTGATAATAATGTAATTATGAATAGCTGAAAGGTTATAAAGGGTATAATATGTAATACAACCCACCTATGTTTCCTTTCTTGTAAAGACATGCCAGTCTTTTCACTAGCATTCTTTTTCTTTTGCATTTCTTGTTGTTTCTTTTGGTTCTTGGCGCGAGCCAAATCTCTCTGGTTTCCACCTGTAACGAAATCAACACATGTTGTTTATAAATAATCATCAAGTGCGCGCGATCATAATACCATGTTAATTTACAATAAAATAATAAATACCATAACATCATCACTAACACGCGTTAAGTCATTAAAGTATGTAAAAAACGGTTCAATAGAGTGGATATAATCAATTTTCATCATACAAAGCATAGCGTCACCCAAATATGACTCGTGTCATGGATACAACGTAAGAACGTTCGATCTAGAATGTTCCATGGAATTTGTCCTTCCAGGACTAATGAAAGTTATATTTGGTTTGGTTTGCGTTTCATGATCAATAATGTATTTTATATTTTGTAAACATGATTATTAATAAGTGTGTCACTGTACTTACGGGTCATCTCGTATAATTAATTACTCAACGCCAGCAAGGTTGGACTTGTCGAATGTCGTAATTATCTAATTAATAGGTATAATAGCACTATGGAAGACCGGACGATACGCTAGTCCGGCCGAAACCTAGGACAACGCACCGCCCTACCCTCTTACCAATACGAAAGAAACTTTGAAAACAACTAAAAGATAAGGCTGGCTCTAACAAAAGCCTCAGCCAGCTGGCCACACAACCACAAACAATGACAAATGACGCTTTTATTTTTTTATTTACAGTTGTGTTTTTTGGTTTACCGTCTTTTAAGTTATAAAACAAAAGAGATTGTTTATGGTTGTGAAATAAGATATCAAAAAAATATTAAGTATTTGAGTCAGACAGTACACCTGTAGTTAAAAAATTAAAATGAATGTATAAACCTAGTTTTTTATTTATTGATGATGATACGTGATTTATGCATTTTAATATTATTTCTTTTTTCTGCTCGCTGTTGATAATTTAAAATAACAAACAACATAACATTCCAAACAGTCATATATTGTAAAGGTTGTGCATTTTAGCGATTATATTAATTGAACCTACTATAACATTCAAACAAAATCACAAATTTTTGTAGTATATTCTCAAGGTTTTCCCCAACCCTTCTCTCTGCTTTTTCTCGTGCCGTCCTGCAAGTTGGCAACACATCTAATTCAATTTTCTAACTTACTGTATGTATTACAAAATTATATATGTTTTCGACTGAAAGACTTGTAGGTCAGGAATAAAGTTAATTAAAAAAAAAATTTTTTTCTAGCTAACTTCACACTCCTTGTCCTTGATAGCTTGAAAGCTTATTCAAAAAATAGTGATCTGTCAAAGTGTCAAAATGTCGGTCAACGCACAAGTTCATAATATGAGTAGCAACGAAAATAATAAAAAGAATGACAAAACACTTAAACAGTTGTTTCCAAAACGGGAAGAGTGCTCACATGTGTCTTGTTATTGGCAAGTGTTTTAATGTTTTATACAGTTCGACAGTATAATGAAAATATTCAATAACCGTGCCTTTGTTGTGTTCTTTCTGCAGCGAGGAAAACGTCTGGAAACTGTGTCAAGATGTATCATTGAGAATTCCTGAAGAATTGGATAGATGTTACATTGTTTTTATATCCAACCCTTGCCGTACGGTGCCTTTGTGGAAACAAAGGGCTGGGCGCGAGGAGGATCGTCTCGTCATATGGGTGTGTACCGAAATTATGTCACGCTATAATGTACTTAATAAGTTTTATAATTCAGAGAATAGGAATTTCTTGCAATGTATTTATATATTATTTGTTTCCTACCTCACTCTCAAAATTCCCTTATGTTGATTAAAATTATTGGTGTGTTTTCAATAACAATACAATTTTAGTGCCTAGATAAATAATTTAATGTGTTGACCTAATAATTTCACTACCTTTGTCTTCCTATATCAAAACAAAACGAATATAATATGAGGCAGAATTGCCTATCTTATAACTTTATTGTTTGTTCTACAAACTATTATATTTACTATTTACTTTCAGGATTATCATGTGATATTTCTGTATTCCTGGGACAGCAAAACTTGCCTTGTTTATGATCTGGACTCTGAATTGCCATTCCCAACATTTTTCCATAAATATGTCACAGAGACATTTCGTACAGATCAAGTGCTCAAGTCAGATTTCCACAGGTACAAAAAATCATTTCTTGAAAAACTGTATGGTAAATCTATACACTAAGAGGTGTTAATTTATGATTAAAAATCTTATTGTTTTCAGATTCTTCCGTGTAGTGCCTGCTAAGATGTTCTTGCAGAACTTTGCATCAGACCGACGTCACATGAAGAGACCAGATGGCTCTTGGATTAAACCACCACCTCCATACCCAGCAATATGTACATCCAGTAAGTAACAGACTTATTATGTATATTAAAATAATAAAGACTCAAAATAAAATATTTCAAAAGAACTCACATGTTTTACAAATTATCCTATTAGCATCTAAATGTTTTTGTGTCTTAAATGAGTTTTGTTGGCCCTAAGCCAAAAGCTTAATCCACTCACTTAAGTAATGTTAAAAATGTAGTATTCACAATACATAACCCACTGTGGATACTTTTGTTATATTTTTCTTTGTTCTTACTGTACTGTTAAAGTTGAGAAATAGGTCACTAGGTCACCATTGTGCTATAGAAGTACAGACTAGAATGTTAGCACTGAATATTTCAATAGAATCTTTTATTACATATGAATAAAAGATCCTATATTATTCAGTATTGCTTTACCACATTTAGTTAATTTGGTTCTGAAACAAGCTTAACCTTTTGAGTACTAAAAGTCTAGACATCATTATTTTTTGTTATTTGTGGATATTGATTTGTTCAAAAGCTTAGTAAATTATAAGGATTTAAATATATCGAAAAAAGTCATTTAAAGAAAAGTAAGAGGATGACCTCTACAGAATATATTTAGATGGTTCTCCCACAATTTTATATTGAATTTTAAGAGTTAGTAAAGAGACTTAAATCCCTTAGTTTGCCGTCTCAGAGTTGTCATTGATAAAGAAGGGCTGACCTCTTCTACTTGTTATTAAACATTGATTAAGCCATGAACCATGTTGTAGTTGTAATGTAGTATTTACATCTGACTTGTTGTTTTTCAGCTTCTACACATAATCTAGATGAGTACATCAACATGGACTTTGGAGTTGGTCCTGGTCAGGTATTTAATCTTACAGATTTTGTACAGCGGTTCTACAAAATAAACAAGTAGTACAAATGCAAATGATGAATTGATAGATAGTCCAATATTCGGTTTTTAATTAATGAAATCCGTTCTATTTTTATTTGATTATGTTTTAATAATCCGTGATTTTTCTGTATCCCTTGCAGTGGATTATATTTAAATCATACCACCAAGTTTCCTTGTCGGAAATATTTCTTTATTACCATCTAATTATGTTGCCATTATACTTAATTATTAGTGGCATAAAAGTTATTTCTATTTATTTGAATGTAATTATAATTGTTTTAAATATTGTACGAGTGACCTTAAAAATTATGAGAGCACAATAAGTCAATAAATTTTATCCACAAACACAAAGAAATGATTATGCACAAATGTTACCTTTTATGAAATCGAGAAGTAATATGCTTCGTTAAAGTATTATTATGTAGGTTTAACTGAACATTTATGGAGTTTAAATTATATTATTAGCTGTTATTGAAGTTTTAATATTGTAATTATGCAGTTATACAATCAGAAACCTACATAAGAATACACAAATATATACTTTTATCTAATAATAGTTTAAATAAAATAAAAGATTAAATATGGCAAATTATATAATAATTCAGGGCACTTCTATTCCCCATAAAGATTAGCTGATTTTGATATAATTAGATAGTTAAATATTAAGCATAGTGAATTTAATCGAGGCTAGTGCTTAATGTTTCCATTTTATATGAGTAACAAGTGAGTAGTGTTTTGGATGTTCTGCATATTCTTTCTTTTGTCGTTATTGTGAGAGTAGATTATATTAAATTTATTATCATTTTGACTGAGGTAATCCTTATTTACGGATTGTGTGTTACCTTGAGTGATAAATTAATATTTAAGTAACTTTATTGTAGTGTATATGGTCGCAAGTAGCTTTTGTATGTTGTTAAACTATTTAATAATTTTGTAACAACTTTTATACACTCTTTTTATTCTTCCCTAGCACCCTTAGAAAATGAAAAAAAAATACCAAAAATATATTTAAGAATATTCGCTTGCGATAAGGGTTAATCCAGTGTATGAATATGAATTGTATGATTCATTTCTAAGGAGATAGAGTCAGTTTGTTTACGTCCTTTTACTTCCACCTAAGTACTTACTAATTTAGTTGAGCAAACTAAAGGAATATTATCTATTGTTCTAAATCTCAAAAGATTATTTTACCTAAAATATTTACACTTAAAATTGTACCTTAATATTTTACATTTTAATCTATTTATTATGAGTAAAAATATTAACTACTTAAAAATACTATATTAATTATACTTAGATTAAGAAAACTTACTAAAATGGCACAGTAGAAAGATGTTATGTTATAAAGTTAGTTTGTGAATTGTGAATAATTTTATTGTTAACATTGAATTTATTGTATTCAACTACCTACATACTTTCTGCAGGGTTCTTGATCTGTGTTCGAAACTTTACTGTTTACTAGTCCATGTTAATTATTTTTTAAGGTTCAATGACATTCTCTCGAACATTATTTGAATTGCTTCTACCTAGTATAATGTCAATGAAAAATTTTATTATAGTGCATTTAAGACCTAGTCATTATTGTTAGTTATTCTTCTTCCTAACAGTTAGCACACGTCACACTTAGTAATTAATCGTCGAGGCGTAGCTGGATATTCTATGGGACCAAACTCTTTGGATTGGATGCGGTGGAACCCGGAACGTAGAGCGAATATTAATCCCTGGGAGTGTGTTTACGGCCCATTGGTTACGCCTTTGTCCTTCTTCATATTATCCACATGTTACAGACTCAATCGATACCTTCCCTCTACGCCTTTAAAGTTTTATCTATTGACTGACATATGAGTGATAATTATTGTGCTTGTGCTTTTAATGTACCAAGTTACATGTTTTTAATTTAAGATTTATCAAGCAAAATAAATGAAACATTACACGCTATTTTGGGTTTTTATTTGAATTAAGTAGATTCAATCAACAATTACATTAGAAACTATAAAACAATGTCGACAATCACATTATGGTATGGACACAACAGAAACGAAAATAAATAATATTTTGATATTACATACAAATCACAATCAGTTATACTAAAACAACAAATTGATATCACAGTTGAGTCTTTGTAGTTTGAATACTAAATATTTAGCTAAGCTATCACATTTATTTGGTAACTATCTCTGCACCATTCTCTGTGATTAAAACTGTGTGTTCTGCTTGAGCACATCTGGAGCCATCTTCTGTCACTAAAGTCCAGCCATCTTCAAGGAGCACCGTCTGTTTACTTCCATGTGTAACAGCTGGCTCTATGGTGAAGGTCATTCCAGGGTTCATTACACCAGGATATCTGTTGACTGATCAATAAAATAAGTAAAAAGTACTAGAGACACGGTCATCATCATTATTAGCCTGAATACGTCCACTACCCGACAAAGACCTAACCCTTAGTACTCCACGTCAAACAAAAAGCGACAAGTCAGTACACCTAGCGAGAAGTCCGGTTCAATTAATTATTTATATTATATCAATAACTCTTTTGTATACATAAATATTTTATTTCAATAGGTAAAATGACAGACCACAAACTAAGACAATCAGCTTAATTTACCCAATACGTAACACGTCTAGTACATAAATATGAAGTCCAATCATTCCTTTACACAGCATTTAACGATGAATTTGCTTCAATTGACAGTAAGGTGAAGTAATATGGACTGCACGGTTGCTACCGCACATCGTGTTTCGGGTTCAATTACCGCACGCGAACGGGACAACTCTTAGTGTGATCTACAAGTTGTTGTTCCGGGTCTGGGTCTGATGTGTATGTTTCTAACCGCACACACAATACAGGAGAAAGTCCTCAGTGAGGCAATTTTTTTTTAAAATTTGGATAAAGTTATTAAATGGCACTACAAACAAAATAGAACTACAATTTATATATACAATTTTTAAATTCGTTAAGACTATTCAGGTGCAAGTCTACACTAGGGCATATAGTCTGATGATATCCGCTTTATCTAGCAGATTTTAAAAGCAATATAGGTTCTGGTTCTGGTCGGGCGCTAAGCTAAATTTGCGCGCAGTTCCGCGCTTCCGGTAGCCGGTCCCCGACGCCCGGAGTATCTCCTACTGCAGAAGTAGGAGCGTGAGGAGAATAGTTCCCTCACGTGCTGCGCCTCCTTTGCGAACATCACTGCCTCGCAGGCTTTCTAATAATCCACATATGCTAAACACAATGGCCGATTATACGCCTCCGTACTAAAACTTTTTGGACCCCGTGTGTTCGTAAGGTTGGAAGTCAAACTCAAGTTCAAGATATTTTATATTTAAGTATGTAGGTTTTTTTTTTGTGTGGGGAAAATCATCAAATGACTTCTCCCGCCCAGAGCCGGGCGGGAGGTAGTGTCAGACTCTTACTGACTAAAAAACCCCCTGTTCATTCTCCTGCTCTGAGCCGAGGTCGCGATGCCTCTTTGTGCTTACCCCGCAACACCGGCTGACATTTATGTACCTAGGTAACAATTTCTGGAGGACTAAACGTATCCGCTTAGCACAGTTTTGCTGAGATTTCGTCATCGCCCGGTGCTTTGTTGTTTTTAGGCTGTTTGCGAGCCACCTTAATCTGGTACAGGCTGATGTTTGGGATACCCTCGCTGAAATGTCGCGTTAGTTAGCTCTTGGATCCCGACCTGAACCAACGATAGGATGCCGTGTTGACGTGTACAACTTCCGTAGATCCTCTCAAGCTCTCTCAAACTCTGTGATTTTGACGATATGATGCTACAATCTTCGGTCTTGAGAATTGTCATTAGCTATGCAACTGTATACACAATAGACGCATAGAGGTACCTAGTACGATTCCCGTGGACTTTGAAATCCGCCTATTGATATTGTTTTCACCAACCCATTCCACAATCGTTAGAGCATTGGAAACGATTATGTAGCTGAGGTTGGAAGGCTTCGGGTTGTACCTCTTCTTTAGGCGTGACCCTTCCAGCTTTCAGAAAACCGTTAGTGACGTAAACAACGTCGATACTCGCAATCACAGAGACGTCACTGAATACGCTTCTCGGTTATCATGATACAGCGGATTCAGATTCGAAGTTTAGAATGAAGTCTTACAGAATCACACTGCTATGGCAAAAAAAACATCTTTGATTTAACAAACTTGCGTAGGTACCTCATAACATGGTTTCGTAAGAAATATTTTTTTAATATTATAACTTTCGTGAGACATTCTAAATTATTTATCATGTATTCGGCTTACTCACGTAATAGTTTGACGAGATACTCGACTAGTTTCAAGCCATGCTCATGCAGTTAATCTCATTTTTATTTAAACCATTGGGTCTTGTCCACGTCCACGTATTTCTGGACGGAATTAATCGACCATTCGCTAACCCTAATAGTTTCGCTGCATAAACTTATGCAAAACTAAACGAGCAGACTGATTACTTTATGGTAAGAAATTATTGCTGCCTATGGACACTCGTATTCCCAAGAAGTTTGGTTCTGTAAATGCGTTGCCGTCTTTTTTGGGTCATTAGGGATAAAGGTATCTTCAAGTCGTGGAGGTAGTAGCGGATTTCTTTAATCACCACGCTAGACAGACGGTTTGGGGTTTGCAATCAAGTCACCGGTGTATAATTATGGAATGCTCATCCCTCGGTGACGGGTCGCAGACATGGCGAACAATAAGGTCCTTGTTGAGCCTTATTTTAACACAGTCAGTGCCCCCGACGCGTATGTGCGTTTCCTCGCACGCACATACGCGTCGGGGGCACTGAATGTGTTAAGAGTAATGTAGTATTATAATAAATTTAAGTAAATTTTAGTCTGAAACTACTGGTTTTTTTAAACCTGTATTTAAAAAATACTTACTACTATGATAAATCTCGGGAGGTCCATGAAAATACTGTCCAATGCCATGTCCCAACACAGATGGGATAACAGTCAAGCCATTTCTCTTTGCGTGTCTATAAATATTTGAGCCAATTTCTTTAAAAGGAACACCTGGTCCGCAGCATTTTATTCCCTATAACATTTAAATAGCTTTTTAATATTAATATGTCCATTACTGCATTACCATAAGGTGCAATAAAATAATATTAAATGTTGTGATAGTTTATTTTCTTTAACTTACAATGTCTAAACATTCTTCAGTAATAGAAACCAGCTGTATCCCCCTGTCATCCACATCACCAACTAGAAATGTTTTTGAACAGTCTCCATGATAGCCTCGATAGAATACCTGAAAATTTAAAGCATTTGCAAAGAACTAACAACCTTCCCTATTCAGAATGGGTGTCTTACTACTTTGGTGTTAGTTGGTGGCACTGAATTCAATGGGTTACTATTTCCTCCTATGTATTGTGCAATATTCTTTCATTAAAACTATATCCTGATAATAACAAACACATAAAAAATATGGTTTCATTCTAGCTGTTGACATATACATATACTAGGAATTAGAATTGATTTAATATTATACTAGCTACTCTCGCGCGGTTTCACCCGCTGCTCGGCTCCATTTAATCGTAGCGTTATGTTTTATAGTCTATAGCACTCAGGAACATTGTAGCTATCTATTAGTGAAAGAATTTTGGAAATTCGACCAGCGGTTCCAAAGATTACCCCCTACATACAAACTTACAAATTTTACCTTTTAATAGTATTATTACAGGTGTATACAATTGTTCATCATGTCTATTGTAAGTTCATATAATCATATTGCAATCCTAGTTATCTTTCAATCTTTCATATGGCCAGATAATTTTTTAGTTGGGTCGGGGTAATTTTGAACTGTTTTTTTTTTTATTAAATTTGCTTATTGTTATTGTCCTTGTAAAAGATAAGTAAATATAAGAAAAAAAAAGGAATTTGTGATGAAAGTTAAAGTTATCCACAATCACCACCAAAATAAATTTTACTTAGGTATCTACATTTACTTAGTTACTTTTTTCATTGCATTGATGATTGGCAATCTTTTTGATGTGTATTATCTTTAATGCAGGTACTATGTGCAGATAGTGCACAAGGTTGATATGATTTGAAACTTATCAATACAAATGTTTCTTTAAATTTCCAATATTATCAATTTTTTTAATGATAAGCATCAGCCAATTCAGTTGCTATACAATGAAAAGGTGATGTAATGATAAAAATAATTGAACTTTTTATTTTTTTTCTTTCCTCATATTCCAATTTCATAATGATATTATATTATAAAATTTATTAAAAAATATACTAACCGTTATATCTACATTAACTATATCTCCATTGTCTAGGGGTCTCAAGTCTGGTATACCATGGACAACCACATTGTTGACTGATGTACAAATACTCTTTGGAAAGCCATTATAATGTAATGGTGATGGATAAGCCTCTGCTTGTACACACAATTTGTGGGCTAGTTCATCAACATCATCTGTTGTTAAACCTGGCTGAAAATAAAATACATAAAATTAATTGAGATAAAACTTTTTCTTCCTTTTCATTTAATATAGAATATTAATATGTCTTGTTAAGTACCTGAATAATATCTCCTATTTTCTGCAGTATGCTTGCAGCAAGTTTGCAACTTCTTTGCATTCCTTCTATCTGTTCAACATTTTTTATTTCTGGCACTTTTGGTGCTACAGATTTTTCTGTCAGTGAAATGTAATCTGGCCTTACAATATGCTCTGGTACAATTCTACTTGGTGTTGTAGCTTCCGGGAAAACTCTATTGTATACACCAAAGCGTTTTCTAAAACATTATACAATGTTATATAACTGTTCCTAAACTGTAGTCATTTCTTGCAATATTTTATTACTTACCTTGTGTTCCCATTTGTGTCATTTCCCTTCATAAATATGGTTTTTTTTTTGGACATAATACAAACATAAAAACAGCCAATCAGCCACAGGAAATAAATGTTAGTGCAAGGCATGCAAGTACGATAATGTTGTGTTAGTGAGTTGTTAATTTCTAAATACTAAAATTAACTTACAAAATCCGCTCTTGAATCCTCGGGTTGTATGCTCTAGGAACTCTCATATTGAAGAACCTAGCTTTATCACCGATCTATTACCGACGTAGGATGAGGTTAGGCATTAAACGGAAGTGCAACTTAAATATAAAGAAAAAACAATCGTTTAAAAATCTGGTGCAAAGGTATAATGATATAGCATGATAAAAATGGATGATTGAAAGGGGAAAATCTCAAGAAACCAACAAAATCTTTGAAATTCTATTCAACAACCCTGCTTACATATTCGCTCTCCAAAATCGGCCCAATGACTCCATAATTAAAATTTTTACAAGCCCCAAATATTGAACTTAGAATTACAGAAGCAACTTAATTCAGGAAACTTATATTTTCTGAAAAAAAAAACTTATTTCGTACCTCGCTTCAAATTCAAACAAAAACTGAAATTTCACGAGGTCACATTGAATCTTGTTTTTATTTAATGACATTGACAATTAATATGATAAGTAACATGACCATGACGTTTTTAGTGCCGTCTTTTGTTTATTTTAAGTTTTTAACACAAAAATGCATTTAAATAATAAAATGCCTATATAGGTAAATTTAATATTATACGTATATTTGACTATGTACAAAAATCTTTTAAATGGTAACTCCTTTATTACATTGCTGGAATCTTTGTTTATCTTTCCAACTAAAAAGTAAATATAACAAAATATAACAATAAAAACTATAACCAGAGTCCAGTAACCATAGTCTATTTAGTTGGTGTAGAGGAAAGATACAACACTATTGTTTTGTGTTGAACTTTGAAAAGGTTTTTTGGCTTAAAGGACTCGTATCCAGGCCATAAATTCCAAAAAAAAAAAAAAAAAAATTGAAAAGGTTTGCTTGTGGCTTTTCTGGTATTATTGTTGTTATAATATAAAGTAGAAAACATTTAAATTACTATTAAGAGAACGAAATAAATTATTATTTAAACTATGTCGCAGAGTAAGTAAGACCCTTATGAATTTTATTATACCGATAATAATTTACAATTTGTCCGAAATGCAAGATCTCGTTTGTCTCAACTTTATTGATTTTATTACAGATTCTGAAAAACCGCCAAATCAAGATGTTGTTGACCCAACAGGGCCCGCTGCAAGGAAAGGGATTCTCATATCATTTAGGACTGGAAAAACAATGGAAATACCTGAGAAAGATATCGTATGTAAACATAACCTACAAACTACCGATTTTTTATTTTGACCAGTCTATTTATGTACCTATTCTAAGTTTTGTTTACTCCAAAAATAACCACAACAATAAATATATGATTCTGTCTAAATTGCCAGTGACTATACAATTGATTGGTGTATAATATTTTGTTATACAGCTTGGTAGATGCAGATTCGTTGGCGAATTCGAGAAACTGAACAGGATTGGGGAAGGCACTTACGGCATAGTATGTAAGTATTGCATATTGATTTTATCTGCACAGGTTTTACTAAGTTTAATTTAATTCTCATGCTGATTAAAATTATCTTTATTTTAGATAGAGCAAAAGACAAGTTAAATGGCTCTATTGTGGCTTTGAAGAAGGTGAGGATGGATGTTGAAAAAGACGGCCTGCCACTTAGTGGTCTCCGTGAGATTCAAGTCTTAATGGCTTGCAGACATGAGAACATTGTTCAATTGAAAGAGGTTCTAGTTGGACGTTCTCTTGAGAGGTGAGATTCATGAATGTTTCCACACACTTCTGTAGTACATTAGAAAAGGAAAATAATCTACCATTAGGTTTTGGCATTTATTAAACATGTATATTTCAAGTTTTTTACTAATGTAGTAGTTATTGTTATTTATTAAGGAGAGTAACAAATGTATATGAGTGTTGTATGTCTAATGCCCTTCATCATTCCCAATCTTCGAATATGTCACTCCTAAAAGCTTGAAAACACACTCTTAACTCCTCTGGTGTTGTTTTATTTTTATTTGACACCCATTTATTACCATCAGATGACCCATAAATCATTAACAAATCTATTATCCAACCTTATTAAAAAAGTCTTTATCATAATCAAAAATTTGTCTACAGCATCTTCCTATCAATGGAGTACTGTGAACAGGATTTGGCGTCACTGCTGGACAACATGACATCACCATTCACAGAGTCACAAGTGAAGTGCTTAATGCTGCAAGTACTGAAGGGATTAAAATACCTACACTCTAACTTTATAGTGCATAGAGATTTGAAGGTCTCTAATTTGCTACTGACTGATAAAGGATGCGTAAAAATAGGTAAGACATTAAATTCCTAAAAAAATACTCCAAATATATTTTTTTTTCTTATTTTTTTCACTACTTTTTCAAAGTGATTACATTAATAATGGTGACAGCTGAGCGGAGAGTAACTAATGTTTGAACATAAATTTATTTATTTATTGAATAATTTTTATGCACAAACTTTACTGTAAGGTGGACTGAATGGGCATTCTCTGCCCGTCAAACCTTTGGGTGATGCAGACATAAACCAGTGAAATGCCTTTAATAAAAAAATTACATAGACAAAAACAATGTAACAGTATTACTGCCTCAGATTATTTTCTGCATAATAATTATAAATAGTAATATTGGATTTATGACAGTGTTAGAGTTGAAGATTTTTTAACAAAAAGTTTCAAACACTTACAGCTGATTTTGGCCTGGCGCGTTGGTTGGGTGCACCGGCCCGTAGTGCCACTCCTCGCGTCGTAACTCTCTGGTACCGCGCGCCTGAACTGCTTTTACAGTCGCCGCGCCAGACCCCAGCTCTTGACATGTGGGCCGCGGGCTGTATTCTCGGGGAATTGTTGGCTAATAAACCTTTACTACCAGGAAGGACTGAGATAGAGCAGTTGGAACTTATTGTGGATCTGCTTGGTGAGTAATACATGTATCAACTGGTCCTCTTATACAATACTAGCTTTTGCCTATACTAAATCTATACTTTATAAAATTATAAAGCTGAAGAGTCTGTTTGTTTGTATGCGCTAATATCCGGAACTCCTTGTCCAAATTGAACAATTAATTTTGTGTTTGTTAGTCCATTTATTGAGGAAGGCTATAAAACATCATACGTATGTGCAGAGCAGTGAAATCCCGCCAGAGCAGCTGGTTAAGAATAAAGTGATTTTTCTGTCCAACAGGTACACCTTCAGACGCGATCTGGCCAGAGTTCAGTGCTCTTCCAGCTTTACAGAACTTTACTTTGAAACAGCAGCCCTACAATAATCTCAAGCAGCGATTCCCATGGCTGTCAGCCGCAGGTCTCCGGCTCCTTAACTTCTTGTTCATGTATGACCCCAATAAGCGTGCCACGGCCGAAGAATGTTTACAAAGCTCGTACTTCAAGGAACAACCACTTCGTAAGTATACTCGAGTTTCCTTTCCTACCTGTTGAATTATCTATTGAAACTTAAATCGTGACTCTCTCCCCCCTTATTACTAAATAAGAATTATCTAAAGTCTAGGCAAACAAAGCATTGAGTCTGGTTTTGAATTTAAAAGCTTATAATCATCTACCTTCAATACGAAATACTAAAACTGGCATAAAGGTTTAGACCTACACTAAATAAATACCTTGCTTTGTAATAAAGCCGTCAAAGTTTTCTTTGGCTGCAACACAATTTAAAAAGGGTAGTTCTAACAATTGTCAATATCAATATTCTTTTTCTAAATTTCGCAGCCTGCGACCCGAAGTTGATGCCCAGCTTCCCACAGCACAGGAACATGAAAGGACAGCAAAAGAGTTCCTCAAACCAGTTGAATATCCCGCTGTCAAACTTGAACACGGGTGCTAACGACCAAACCAACAATCTGCCAGCTATCTCTGACCTTCTAGGTGCACTAGTCAAGAAACGAAGGCTCGAATGATGAAAGTACATGACAAAGACCACGTATTATTATAACTAAGTAAGATACTAATAAATTGCACAGAAATATTAAAAAAACGTTTTATTTTAAATTAATCATGTAAACACTTTTTTTTTGTATTTTAGTCAAAAACTTTACAAGATTGCGATTTTTTTAATCATGTTTATATATCAGTTTGTAGATCCGTCTTCGTCGCCCGAAAGTCCCATGGCTTGTTTGAATTTCTGATGATGTTTTTGGATCATAATATTCTCGTTGGTCTTAGCTTTTAATTTCTCTTTCTGGAATAAACATAGGTAAATAAAAATACTCTTAAATTTGTCCAAATTTTTTATAACGGCTTCAAACACACATTGCGTACAAAGAATGCAATATTTTTGAATGAGGTATTACAGTATGATTTGGTGGTGTAGTACTCACAATTTCTTTTTCTGACTTTTCTATCGCTTTAAGATGCTTAATACATTGCGAACACAGAATTACATCTTCCATGTGATTAACGGTTTTTTTGCGGTGATGATGTTTTAATCTAAAAAAAAACATTAACGAATTAACTGCTTAACTGCGCTGCGGCATATCCCGGGTTAAAGAAGATGATCTGATCATGCTTTTTGCATCCATGTAATAGATCGACGACAAAATTATAGACAGGAATACATTCAAAAAGGATAAAATGAACATTGCTTTACGTTACCGGTATCGTTTAGGTACCTCAGGTGGCTTAGTTTTCAATTAGAAATCCTGTTTGAAAATTGCACTTTATTATTAACGACTGACTTAATTTACGCAAATTTAAACTTACTGTTTCCCACAGTAGTCGCATTGAAGTTTATCAGTGCGGTGGGTTATGATATGCCACCCCAACTCGTGATAAGTCGGGTACCGTTCCGAACATCGAGGACACAGGATCTTGCCTTCTGAACGACCGCCGTTGCTTTGATGTTCGTACAACTCTTGAGAAGTTTGGAAGTTTTGGTGGCAACTTTGACACCTGTGGAATAATTTCACCATTCTAATGAAAATGTTGAACTCATTGATATGCCTTAGACCTAAGTGTATTTTATTGAAGTACCAAATGACTTAAACATTTGTATGTTCAGAGGGCCTACCATGATGTGTTATTGCGTGAATGAGCACGCAGCGGGCGAGAAAGAGGGATGACGCTATACACCTTTTTCTATCCCTCTTTCTCGCCCGGAAGACTGACGCTTTAACACGTCATGGTAGGCCTTCAGGTAAGAATTTTTACTAAATTGATTTCTTACATGAATATATTTGGTTGTAAGTGAAACGCCATGTGTTCAATGATTTTCTTCGGGTAGAAATAATGAAACTTTTTGTCACAACAAGTCACATAGCCTGGAACGCCGTGTCTATCTTTGTAATGTTTCATAAGCGATCTGAAGTGGAAGCCTTTCTCATGGCAGATGCAGCATTCCATTTTGTAAAACAGTGTTATTTGACGGTCCAGGGCAGCTCCTTGCTTGGCTGGTCTGCCCTCCAGCAACACCAAAGGATCAAGGGTATCCGTATTCAAGTCTGGATCTACTTTCGGTTGTTCTTTTTGTGCTTCCCTCTTTTGAGGGCCGGTTAATTTAATACCTGCTGAGGTTAGCATATTTTTGTCCAGTTTCTCACTATTAGCAAATTCCTCTAAAGTCATTGACTCCATAAACTTCAAGACAGACGGTGATTTCTTTTTTGGCGTTTTGAATTTCGTATTTTTCACGTCTCCTTGTTGTAGGTCACTAATTGGAGATTTCAGATTTGTCCCACTGCTCGTTTTTTTCTGCATCTCTGCAATATTTTTGATCGACATTGCTTCAATAATTGGGTGAATTATTTTTTCGACTGTGCCTTCCCGTCTCTCTTCCCGCATTTTCATTTTGTGGAATTCTAAAAACTTTTGTGTTTTCTCAACTTTTACAGCATACATGTGTAACGCCGATACCTGTTGTAAGCAGTCGTGGCATATTGCTTTCGGTAAAGTATCATCAGTGCGAACCTGGGGACAGTCGTAAATATTAAAAAAAAATTTACAAGTGCCTAGGTATACCTATTCATAATTTCACGTACCTAAAACGAATGTGCGGTAAATAATTAGAACTTACAGTATTGATAATAAGTCACTGATTTCTTCAATAGGTAAAAATATTATGTTACACCCAGCTATGCTAGTAACATTGATGGTCTACCATAATTAATATTAATAGAGACCTTATTGAAACCATCGTAATTTAGAAGGTCGCGCCGACAAAGTCTGATAAGTTAAACAGAGTTTCCTGTTAATAGTTTCGAGAACTGGTTGGCTTACCAAAATATCAAACAGTCTCTTGATTTTCCTCTTTACCTCTGCACTGAGCGGTTTCAGTTTCACCACATCGGTGCACAGACACAAACGACACGAGAGTTCACGGACAAGAGTTTTTTCTAAACTGGAAAAGTCATTCATACTGGCGATTTTCTTACAAAACGATTAAATACATAATACAAATGTAAAAAATAAATATAATAAATGTTATGATTGTGCAGGGTTATTTGTTCATGACAGAAATACTATTTTAAAACCAATCTGATAAATTTGGACGTAGTGACAGGCCCATGACTGTTTGTTTTATTTTAACCAAAGAGTACTTATAATAAATATTTCAACACTTGATAAATAACGGCCAGGTTGAAATTAATTATATTTCTTTATAGCCTACTTATCTTATTCCAATTCATTAACAATAAATTATTAAGCACTTTTTTTTCATAACACTTTGTGATAAGGTTTATTATGACCTTAGTGATGCCGTGGTGACCTGGAAGTTAACGCGCCCGCTTCTCGTACATGACGGTGCGGGTCCAAAACATTTCAAATACCGATGTGACTTTTTCCGAGTTGTATGTACATACATACTTTCATTGACTTATTAAACACCACAGACATACGGTGACGGATAAATGGTAAGGAAATCTGATCTTATAATTTTTAATTACAAGTTTGAAATCGTCAATCCGTGTTGAGCAAGCGTGGTGATTGATACTCAAACCTTCTCAGTGTGAGAAAATGCCTTTGCTGATGATGATGACCGAAGTTAGTTCCGAGATTATAATATCATCCAGTGGCCAGACTTCGATGTAGTGAAAGGGACTGTCTATTGTCAAACTTTTCTCCGCAGTAAATAATTGCCTTGCACCTTTTACCCTGGCTGGACATCGGTCACAGGGGGCCTCATCCGACATCCCCTATTTTTTACTTTAAACAAGTAACAGTAATAAACTTTATCATATTCAGAACATCTGATTTAGTTGGTCACATTGTAAAAGATTCTATGAAATGTGTCTCAGACAGATTTTCCGGCACTCGCTGTGAGAATAGGAATACCTACGCACTAATTTACCATGCCCCCAGCCCGGAACAGGAGAAGTACAGTTCGGAAGGTTTTCATCAAAAAGGAGATATAAGGGCGCTGGCAAATCTTTTTTGCTGCCATCTCACGATTCAAAATTGAGCCGGGAAGTTGAGCCCTCATAAACAAGTTAAATGTTCCCACCGAAGTAAATTACATCACGTAAGCAACATATCTACACGTCAGTTCACTTTAGAGTGGGTTTACAGACGTAGGCATGTGCTTAGGTACCTACATACCTACCTACTATATACTGACTCCAAATGAAACGTCTGTTACAATTAAATTCGGGCTCTAAAATCCTCTTCTGTTACATTTTGTAAGCAATCACGTGTCTGCGATGAATAAAAATGATTTGAATCAAAAGTAACACAACCTTTTTTGATTACTTATAAACAATTTACATGAATAGTCACGTAGTGGGTTGTGGTCGACACAAATTACGTAGGTACCGTAAAACGTTACTAAAAAAAGTATGTAAATTGAATTCTAAGTTCTAGGTTTCGTCTGCGAAAATGTGGATTTATTGTATAAAATTATACTTGAACCTACTTGTGATTAAATAAGTCACTAATTGGGCTTATAGGTCACACTTAGGTTAGTAAAAAGGGATCATTCAAGCATTTATTACATATACACGTTCCTACGTACATAGAAGGTAGGTACACTACAATACAAAACGAAACTAATATAAGTATGATAAAAATGTACACTTGATACCTCCACCCAACAAAATGGTTGGAAAATAAAAGGGAAAGGGATTTTCCACGGCTCAATAAGCATTGTTGTGAGTAAAGGACTGCGTACACGATAATAACCTTTAAGAATTAATAGAATCCGTGCCGACCGAACATTTTGTGTGATCGCGAGGACGAATTACAATATTCCATCGACAAATCCCTTTGAAGAGTCCACATTCGCTTCAGGCACGTCTTTGCGTCCATGTACACTTATTGTACTTATCACAACGGATATTCTGATTCTATGAGATATTAACTATCTCTATATTTATTGTCGTGGCAATGAATGGCGTGCCAGCTGCTTCTGATTCCATTTAACACATAACAATCGATTAAACGGAGCTGTAGGAGACCAAAGCTTCCGCTCCGACATTCCATAATATTAATAAGTTTGAATTAAAAATGACTTCGGTATAAATTGTGTAGTGTAGTGTAAAATAAATGAGTAGGTAAGTTATTTACATTGAAAATCACCTTTATGTTTAAGTATTCCATTTGATTCTCAATTATCAAATCGGTAATGTAAACAAGGCTATATCAAAGCGTATCCTAAAACAGCAATTTATTGTGAATCAATCTTTCAAACCGACCCTTCGAATTAACTGAAATGGCCATTCGGTATAACAAAGGCAGGAATGGTTGAATGCTGGCCTTTGGCCTTTGATAGTAGCCATATACCAGCTCCTTATGTAAGTGGACTGATCTATCACTGCTACTGATTTCCTAGATAGTTGAATTCATGTAATCAGAGAATGATTTAGAGGCGGACTACGGCTAAGTAGTTGGACGAAGTTATTGGGCGGGACCAGCCATCCGAAATGAAAGGGTGGCTACAAGGTCGTGAGAGGTTCCAAGTTCGATAGGTAGATAACTAGTCTAACTACCCACTTCTGTGTTTCGCAGAAAGTTGGAGGAAATTGTCAATATTCTATAAATATTATAAATACGTACAAACTACAAGCGTATATACCTATATATTTCTAAGGTTTATTTAATATTTTCGATATGGTTCGATGGTTTTGCCGTTAGCCGTTTTCTTATTACCCCTCTTTGTTTAGTGCATGTTAATTAGCGTTGTTAATTAATTTTCAACCCAGGTCACGAGTGATTGGGGTTTCGGAGAGTAGGTACCTTCGTAACAAACAATCTAGTAGGTATAAAGTACTAGATTGTTTGTACGTGAGACTTTGGGAAAGGGTAAGTGAATTAATTTTCAAATTAACTTTTGTTGCATAGCTAATAAGGAGTTGCTTAAAATTGAAAGTTGTATTTCACCAAGTTTGTTTTAATTAATTTAACTTTGGGACACTAACAACTTTCATAATTTCATCGAGTTAAGTTTTAAAGTCACTTTAATCTTTTAATATTTTAATTAGGTAGTAGAACGTGTAACAAATTGTTTGAGTAGGTCCTGTTTTAATGGCATTAGAGAAAATAATTAAGTATTTTAAAATGTCAAGGGTCCACAAGTTTGCATTAAGTCTATTAGTCACAGTAACAAAAACAGGTTATGTTTTTATAATAACTATCGTGAGACATACTAAATTAACTAAAAATCGCGGTTTACTCACGTGTATAAATTGAGAAAAGCTCTACTAGTTTCGAACCACAGAGGGGTTCTTCTTCATGAGCAGCGTGCGCGGACGCGGCGACGTCGCGTCCGTCGCTTACGTGATGTACTGTCTAATTTAATATTTCATAATTATTTTTGAGTCATAGATAAGTCTTGTCAGGCAGATAAAGTCTGTTCTTTCAGGTAAGCAAAAAACATACTTATGCACATGTAAATAGACAACATCCGAATTGAAATCTTATTTTGTAAACCAATTTCGAAGATAAGCCTTTAACTTCACAACTGCCTCTACTGGGTCTTTGTAACAAAAACTTTTAAATCGGCAACACAAACAGAAAGTTACCAACTTTGTACAGGTTAATACCACTTGGAAAATGGTTAATCCTAAAGAAAACCACGTGTCTTGAATTTTTATTTAGTTTCTAAGTACGTATCAGTCTATTTTGGAAATAGGTTGTTTAACAGTTTGTCCCTAATCGGAGCTTTTCTATTCTAATCTTAGGTAAAGTTGCGGTTCTTAGAATATTAGGAATTTAATAGGTACGTTGTTGGTCTAAAGTTTAATAAAGGACCTAGTTTTGATTTTCTATGTAGCTGATTTATTATAGTTTTTTTATGGTATAGGTTAGAAAACCAGCAGACCTGATGGTAAGCAATAAATAAAAAAGAGGGTAACCTGATGTTAAGCAATCGGCGCCGTCCATGATCACCTTCAACACAAAAGGAGTTAGGAGCGCGTTGCCGGCCTTTTAGGGTTTCGGATATTTATGGATTGGGAAGGGATGAAGAGAGGCGGAGGGATTAGGCCTCCGGTAACCTCACTTACACGGCGAAACAACGACACTGTGGTTGTTTCACGCTGGTTTTCTGTGATGCGGCGGTATCACTCCGGTCGAGCCGGCACATTCGTGTCAAAGCATGGGTCACCCACACTTAAAATTAATAGTCGGTGTTAAGAAAATTAGTAGTTGTAAAGACATAGATACTCTATTAGAAGGAGCAAAACACTTTTTCAATTAATATTTTAATTTATCACTGCAATCTAGCTGTTAAATAGCCGCGCCGGGGTTGCGGGTGAAACTAATTATCTACTTAACGCGGCCAGAGTCCAAGAGAGTGGTTTTTAGTCAGTAAGAGCCTGATGGGATTCTTGCCGCAGGGCGGGAGAAGTAAATGGATGCTTTGCTACCTCAAAAAAATGTATCTGTTAGGTTGGTAACTTTATGTACCTAAACTCCTATAGATGAACTGATGGTATTGTGATAAAAATGTAGTAAGTAGGTACGTAAACGTCAGCAATGCCTTTGCATTACCTTCTTAAAATTCAATAAGTTTACCTCCACCATTTTGTAATATAAACATCCCTGAAAATTCCCTAAAAGATATCGAACGTGATTGATGACAAGAAGCGAAGGATGATACAGTGTTATCTTTGTAAAAAGGAGGTATCATATGACAGGCTTCCATTTATTATGTAAGTATATGTATGGGTGTAAACTCAAGAACCAATACCTAAGTGGTTTTGGTAAAGTATTGTCCCTATTAAGCGATCATTTATCAGGTTTTGCTAAAGGAAAAGAGGAAGTAATCATGAATTTTATATTGGTGAATGATGATTAAGGCTAATGATGATTTGTGCAACATTAAAATTACATAGGCGAAATACCGAATACTTACGACCTACATTAAAAAATGACAACATAATCAAATTCACTGCCGGAGTCTGTGTTCCCCGAAGGGGGTT